ATAAATAGCAAGATAAATAGCAAGATAAATAGCAAAATAAATAGCAAGATAAATAGCAAAATAAATGTCAAAATAAATAGCAAAATAAATGTCAAAATAAATAGCAAAACAAATAGCGAAAGAGATCTGAAGGAGAAAGGAAGAGAGCGAGGGAAGAGCAGACTTATATACCCTCCCTGCAGCACGGTGCCCGCTCTCCTTCGCGGTACCGACTCCTAGGCCAGCATCACGCAATCGCGCTGCAGCAGTGTTCGTGATGTGAGCGCCCATGGGAAGGCTCTCCAACCCCGCCGGGCCCGGAGGCCTCTGCCGTGATGCGCGGTCCGCTGGCTTGCATGCTCGGTTGTGGACGTGGGTGCATGTGCGGTCTGCTGTGGTGGTGACGTGTGTGCCTTGGTTGATCTATCTGTTTGTATACACCTGAGTGCAGCTCTCGTCGTCGTGCTCATGTCGTTATCGTGCATGACGCACTTGCTTGCGGCGCGGCGGAGCTGGATGGCCGGACCCGCGGGAATGGTAAACATGTGTGCATTGGTTGATCTATCTGTCTGTATACATATGAGCGCAGCCGTCATCGTGCTGCTCTTATTGTTGTCGTGTATGATGTTCTTGTTTACGGCGCAGCGGGGTCGGGCGCTGGGCCCGCGGGCGTGCACGTCAGGACGCTGGACGGGGACGGGGTGCGCCGACGGGGGAACCGTGGACCGCGTCGTGGCCGGCAGCGTTGTCCGCACTGCCTGCGCAGGCAGCAAGGCAGAGACACTGCGCGCAAGCAGGCGAGTGTGCTGCACGCAGTGTGCAGCGTCCGAGCCCATCCCTTTCACCCCCCGCTCCATCCATCTCCCCATGCCACAGGCGCGGGTGCGAGTGCGCACGCGTGCGCGCTTAATCCGCCCTCTTCTTGCCGCGCATGATGCGCCTGCGCTGCGCCATCATATGCGTGAACAGGACATACGAGCCAGGGACGTAGACAGCCAGAATAGCCCAGAGGGCATATGCGATGAGGGGGTTTTGCTTCTGGGCGGGCTCGATGGCGCGGAAGACGAGCCAGCACTCGCAAGAGATGCCGAGCGGGTAGAGGATGAAGAAGGTGTTGTAGCGCAGCCAGGCGAGGGGGCCAGGGACGCGGCCGCGCAGCGCGAAGACGAAATAGCTGTAGCGGATGACTTCGGTCACGGACCAGGCGATCAGCATGCCTGCGAAGGCGGGCGAGCTGCGCGTGCTCTGTGGGTAGTTGTAGCTGATGCCCCAGACGAGGAGGAGGCGGCTGGCGACTTGCATGGCGGTTGTGAGGAGGGGGGCGCGCACGAGGCCTGTGGGGTGGTGGTTAGCAGGTATCACCATGTATTGCCTTGCCCACGGCTCTCTTCTTCTCCCTCTTGCTCAACTCTCAACTTGTATCCATGCTCTTACTCTCCCGTTCCCAACATCCCAGCCAAAACCCCCACGCAGAAAGCAATCGCACTCACCAACTGCACTGTGAACAACCTCCAACAGTGCGCCCGTCTGCACCAATCGCACAAGCTCGTCCGCGCCATCAAACACATTCCGCACGCCCACCTGCGTCGCCAGCGTCACGACGCGCGCCAGCACCGCTGCCCACAGCGCCGCCGAGACGGCATTATACGCCACAAGGTAGCCCGACTTCAGAGACATTTTTGTCGACAGAGAGGTTAGTTGTTCCTGTCGGCGATGCGAATACGGTCGGACTCAGGAGGTGTCGTTGTGGTCGTGCTGTCAGAGCTGTAGACGCGGTGGTTGTAGTCGTTCGTAGCTGTTGAATAGCTAGTAGCAAAGCTAAGCATTAGCAACTCGCATGCCAAACCCGGAGGAAGCAGTATAGGGAAAGGGCAAAGGCTGTGAGGAATATGAGACAGCAGGAAGAAAAACCTTACCCAATTGGACGCGCAGAAACTCCAACAACCTACAGCGTGCGGAAGTTGATGAATGGTGTTGGGACCGAATTGCCGGGCGGTGAGACATTCTTGCAGTGAGGAATCGGGGCTTGGCATCGTAATGCTCCGACGTGGAGATCAGGCATTCAGGCATTATCCATTTTATCATCTCCATGCACAAGCCAGCGTTAGCCAGCAAGGCTTTCTGCCTCACCTCCAAAAGCAACCATTAAAGGGACCGACTGTATCATGCAAAGCATCACCTATTTCATCTCGCCCATCGTCTCGCCCTCGACAATAAAAACAAGAAAAAGCCATCGCCCGTCGCTGGAAAACGCAAAACTCCCCGCCATGCCTCCCATGAACTTGATATCAGAAAAAGGGCATGTGAAAGAAGTTAAAAAAAGAACAGGGAAGAAAGGTGAGGGGAAAAAAGCAAAGAAGTTTCGCTTGCCGTATTCGCGTTTCCCCGCGTCTCACATTATTATGCATCGCTTCCAGGGTAGACCCTGGTTTCCCTGCCCACGCTAGACCGTCTACGCCGAACTTTTGCAGGCAAGGGAGGAGAGGCCGTGATGACGGACTGGAGAGGAAAGGAGGTACAAAGATGCTGACCAGTCGAAAGGGCTGATGCAGTGTACCGTCGATATATGTTTTCATAACAATATGCTCTGAAGGAATGCCGACCCGGCGGCATGATGGCTAACGCTATGCAAGCTGGCATGCGTCTGCAAGGACTGCAAAAAGTGTTTGGATGAAGTGTGATTGGAGGGGATTGTCCAGCGATTAGAAGAATAGCTGGATCATCGCCGACCTTGAGTGACACTTCTTCTCGCAGCCCTTGACAACACATCTTGAGAACGTCTGTGGCAAGCGTGACGACGATGAGCCCGCTGGCTCCTTGCCTTTGCGCTTTGATGTATGCCGGTTCTGGGCGCATTCACCACAGTACGCCTAAAGGTGTCAGTGAGCCTGCATACATGGTGCAAGAATGGTGGAAGCAACTTACATGACCGCAGGCCTTGACGATCCAGACTTGCCTCTTCTCTGAGTCTTCAGGTCCGGTGCATAGCTCTGAATCACAATTCGGACAAACAACCACCTCATTCTCCTTAGGTGAGCGAGTGAATCCTTGTCCAGCATCTTTTGGTGGAGCGTAAGTTGGTGGCGGAGGTGTGGGTTCCTGATCGTGTCCCAGAGTGAAAGCTGGCATGTGGTAATCCAGCGGACCGGGTCCGACAAAGTCCATGATCGGTTGCATGAAGTCGAGGTTGATGTTAAATCGACTGGCGGCGCGGTTAGGGAAATGCCGTCTGTTCCTGTCGGCAGTCCTGGTGCCTCTGTCTGCCCTGTGAGGCGCTGCTTGTCCAAACAACTCCCGGACCCGCCGCTCCAAGTAAGGCCGAGGTTGGGGGAAGCCTCCTGCCGTCACGCGTGTCCTGTGGCCGCCGGTGCCTGGAGGTCCCCTGTTCACGCCCTCCTGCCATGTGCCTTCGACCAGGTCATCATCTGTGAGGTCTACAGACTCTGGGGCTATCCTGCGTGATGATACGATCTGGACCTCCGGGCTTGATGGGATGTGTATCGCTTGCTGTTGGCCTCCGGCCGTGGTGTCTTGCGGCGTATCTTCTGACAGGTCTATGATTTCGCGTGCGAAGCGGGGAGGACGTGAGGCGCGGGTCGACTGCAGCGGCGGGAGTGGGTTGGAGGATGGCTGGGTGGAGCTGTCGGATAGAGAGGGGTCGTCTTCAGACGTGAGGTCTATGATATCGGCCGCGTGTGGCGGCATGGCTTGTGTCGTGGACATGACCGGTCGCCGAAAGTCTAGTCCGTCACCTGCGAAGCGCCCACGGAGCGGGGGCAGGTGTAGGTTTGAGGTTTGAGGGTGTGGTCGGTGCGTTTGCGGCGTCGAGCTTGACGATGTGGGCGATGCGGCCAAAGGCCATGCGGCGGGAGAGGGACGGCGAGCGGCACTAGCACTGTCTCCTTCCATCTCCTCATGAGACCTCTACAGCAGAACGATGTTAGCTTGCAACCCAGTGCAAGTGACCCTTCCGACCCGAGTCCGTGGGCTGGGGGAATGCCTTTCGGCGAGCTAGACGGACCTTGGGATTGCGGTGATGCGGCCAACCGTTGTAGGGATTGGCGCTTTCCATGCTCGAAGCAGGCGGGGACTGGGAGGTGGCGGGGTGCGAGGCACGTCTTGGTGAGAAGTAGGATGCGAAAGTGTGTGTGGAGGTCGTAGGAGGGTCGGCACCGAAGCCAATGCGTGGTACGGCCCGGCGGGTCTTGGTGCTCTTGGTGGCGGATTAATGAGGTGTTGTGATTTGGACGGGTTCCAGATCGCCTAGTTTATGAGTGCAGCAAACGCCGCACCCTCCCAAAGCTCCGTCCTTGTGTGAAGGAGCCGAGTCGTCCGCAAAAGAAGGCGTCGCGTTAGAGAACATGATTGCTTTTTTGGAAGTGCAGGCAGAGCAAAGGCCGTATGATGTCCACTTTCACACAGCTCGATCGGGAGTTTGTCGGTATCAAATCCCGGGATCGAAGACACCATTGACGTCCTTTTCATATTTTGCACTGCACCGTGGTTTGCTGCCTTGGAATTCAGGGCTTGACAACCAAAAATTCGAGCCTACAGTTTCACGAGATACATAACATTTTTTCCGAACCACCTTCTACTGAGCACGCGGACATGTCGTCAAGCAAAGCTGCTCCCTCATAGCCGGCCTGATCGGCTTTCTTTAGGCCGTAGCGGCTTTGTAAGAGCATCATTAATTCCATGCATATCTCCGGTATTGCCGTCAACGCCAAATAAGTTGCCATTGCCATGGTTTGCAATGTTTGCGTTTATCCTTAGAGGCCATGAACCGTCTTGATGAATGCTGAACTCACCCCAAGACTGGTGGAACCTGAAGCAGAGTCCAGCACTTTGGGCTTCCCCCGCAGTCAACGCGGCCAATGGCCAGCTGGAAATATACTGCACCAATGAAGACCATAGGAATTGCCTTCCCAAAAAGCTCTGACCAGTTCCGCCAACGACAGCGACCTAGCCAATGGATTCCCACAGCACGCTCTTACTAAGACCACTCACCCAGAGACATGCCCACGGCGCGGGCAGTCACAGTCCGGGGTCCAGAAACACGTAGCAACGCCCCTCCCGCCGCAGTAGCAGGCGTTTAACGTCCGTCACCGAGAACCGAGATCCACCGTCTAGCGAGACAGGGGGCAATACAAGCAGTCCTTACAGAGTACTCCTTGTCTAGCTCATATCCCGAGTCCTGGTTATGGATGTAAAGGTCTTAAAACACACAAAGACTCTATACATCGTAGCTGGGTCTCTTCTTCTCTGTACAAGTATCACCATCTCGCTTCCCGGTGAATCTCGTTTCACGGTGACGGACGTTACTAGGCGCTGTTTCGTTTCCAAGCAAACAGCACCGACAGAGCCGTCAGCGCCAATGCAGCTCCCATCACCAGAGACCGCCGTCCTGTCAAAGTCCCAGTTGACAGCATCCCCAGCAACGCCACTCTCTGCATAACATCATCCCGCCGTTACATGTCGTACCCAGCAGCGGGGGGCGGCAGCCTCGCCAAGCCCTCCGCTCCCGCGCTGGATTAGGTGAGGTCCCCCGCCGCATCCGCCGCGGCGCGGAAAGCCCCTCGCCCGCCCCGCCGCCCCAACGACGGCCGCGACTCCAAGCCACGGAAGCCAAGCCAAGCCAAGCCATCCCACATGCCCGCGCACCCACCACCTACATCCCACATCCCACGCCGCTCTACGAATAGCATCGCGACGACAAAGCCGCCACCCAGACCCAGGCTCAGGCCAAGCAGCTGTGGCTCAGCCATGCTCAGCCCCCTCCCCCAACACCAAAACAAGGGGGGCCGTGACAATTGCGACAATCGCGACAATCGCGACAATCGCCAACGATCGCACACCCACCAGGCCGTTCGATCGTCTCTTAATCGCCCCGATCGCTGATCCTCCTCTGTCACCCTCCTTGCTCCAGATTCTGATTTCCCGCCAACCGCCGCTCCTCCGACTCCATGCCGATCGCAGCGCTGCACCCAACACCTCCAGCAACAGCAGCAGATCGCAATCAAGCACGCCCCTGCGCGCACGCCTGCACAGCCGCCGCCGTCGCGCCTCCCCAAACGAGGACGCCACGAACGGACGCCTGAGGCATGCATAGAGGCAGGGACCGCCTGAGCCTGGCCTCCTGCATCCACGTCCATAATTAGCGCCCCCCGGAAAGATGGGGGTGGGTGTGCGGGCGCGAAGTGCTGATCTCGGAGAAGGACGGGACGGGGAGAGAGGCAGGCTATTGCCTACCTAGCAACGTCCCGGCGCTAACAATATAGGCTTATTTTATTGCCAATTGCTGTGGCCATGCGCTGGAGCGCGCGGTCCAGTTAAGCTTCTTCTATTGTGCAGGGTTAGGCTGTTAGCTAGCTGGGGAGCTGGATTGGGACGCCTGCTTGCCTTGGTTAGGTAGTGCTTTATGGGGTGTGCAGATCGTGGGGACCTCCTGTTTGAGGCTGCTGTGCCTGAGTAGGTAGGTAGGGGTAGGTAGGTATCTAGGTGTGGCACTCTAACTAGCGTAAGTACATGATGTATATGCACATCGTCTATTCATATTCAGTCTACTGAGTAGATAGACTGACAAGCAGCACAGCACAGCACACCAAAGCATAGAGGTTCCAAAGTATACAGATAGAAGATTGAGTGGTTGAGTGTATCGATTACTTGGCTACAGGGCCGCTTAAGCCCAAAAAAAGAAATGTTTGATAGCATAGGTGGGGGTATATGGCTGCTGTCTCAGCAGAGCAATATGCTACTTTGACGCCGATCCATGTCTGAATGTTGAATGACCCAAGGCGCGGTCCCAGCAGCAGCAGAGAGAGCGCGCAAGTGATCCGCAATGATCAAGTCGACAAAAAAAACCAAACCAATAACTTTTTCTTTTCTTCCCCCGCAAGAACGACGACAACAACAATGACAAAGAAAAACAAGTAAAAGAAAACTCCGGATTATAAACTGTTGGGGCGATAGCCAATGCAGGAGCTGCCATTCTGACAGGCTGGGGTATATCCTCCGCATCCACTGAGCTAGCTTCTCCTTCTGAGAAAAAGTTCAAGGAAATTCGTTACAAGCGTGAGCGCAGAATGTTGTTGAAAGAAAAAGCTCGAGAGGTAGGTAGGTAGGTGGGTGGGTGGGTTTTTAAGAGTGGTTGAGAGAAAGGCGCTCAATGTCCTCGCTGCTGCGCGGAGCCAGCTCCGACGAGTAGGCAGGAGGACTAGCGGGGATGTCGTCGTAGACGGGCGGCTGCTCCTCGTCCCACGAGATGCCGAGGCCGGCGCGCTCCGTCAGCACCAAATTGAACTGCGTGCGAAGGACGCGGGCGGCGCCCGTCGGCGTGATTTGCGTCGGCTTGTTGTCCGGCGCCCATTCCTCGGCTACAACCATCTCGACGACCAGGTTGTGCCGCACTTCGAGTCCGTTCTCGCCTTGCACGTCGCACACGGGCTTCATGGTGGGGTTCACCATCGCGTTGAACTCGACTTCGATCGTGTCGGCTTGGATGTCCGTCTTCCAGCCGTGCTTGACGTCGTCGGTGCCGATGACGCGCGTGTCCTCGTGCAGGACGCCCTTGCCGTCACCTCCGACCTTGGAGGCGTGCTTGGGGCAAGCCGGGGAGGTGAACTTGGTGTGCTCCTCGATGCGCCAGTTGAGCTTGCGGAGCTTCCAGCGCGTCGTAGACTTGTCCCTCTTCTCTTCTACGAGGCCAGACATGCGCATCTCCACGTTGAAGTCGCCAATGGGGTGGATGATGTTGGGGAGAGTGACGGCGGCGGTCAGGTTGGTGGGAGGGAAGATGCGGACGGAGTGCTTGTCGTTTCCGGGAAGGATGGCACGCTTGATGTTGATGCTGCGGCTGAAGGTGATGACCTCGCCGGTGGAGGTGGTGATTTCGGCTTCCAGGTGGTAGTCGATGACGACGAGCGGGCTGTCGGTGGTGGCGGGGAGGTGGCCGGGCACCAGGTAGCTGAAGGGGAAGTAGTGGTCGCCATGGCTGAGATGCAGGGCATCTTGGTTGAAGGACCATGACTTGAGCTCGGTGGACTGGGTGGTGCACTGGGGGCACTGCTTGCAGACGGGCTCCTTGGTGGTGGTGGTGGAGAGAAGCTTCATGTCGAACTTGTCGACGACAATGGTCGGGTCGGTGACATCGACCTTCAATTGGCCGGAGAACAGGGCGCCGGTGGAATTGGCGGGCGAGTTGTAGAGGACGATGGGCGGCGACTCGACGGCGAGGCTGATCTTTGCGGGCTTGGCCGTCTCGAGCTTGGTTTGACTCTTCTTCTCGTTCTTGTGGCGGCCGAGATGGCTGTGGCGGCGCAGAGCCTCCATGTTGGGGCGTTCGGGAGCATGGGCTCGGGGCTTGGGCGAGGCGGCTCTCTTTACCTTTGCGAGGAGAGTGCCTTCGTTGACGGTGAGGCCGGCATGGTTGTGGTAGGGAGGCGGCGAGGACGAGTCGGTTCGCCTGGGAAAGTGCAGTAGGCCGGGCATGGCTGGCAACAGCAACAACAGCAACAAAGGATGTCCGGATTGGGAAGGTGGATGCGAATTGGCAGATCTCTCTGGGGTTAGAGGGAGGTGTCTTGAGGTTTATCAGGCGAAAACATAGTATGCGTCGGGGTCAGGGGCAGGGCACGGGGTGCGGCTCGTCGGCTTTTGTATTGTAGAGTAGTGGCACTGGATTGCGGGAAAAAGCTAGTTGATGTCGAATTTTCGAACCACGGCCCGCTGGCATGGATCCTGGCCGATTCACCGCCGCAGAGGCCAACAAGGGCCAAGCACACCCCATGACAGCACCGTGATGGCGATGACTCCCGCGCCCCCTACCCTGCCCTGCTGACCAGGCAATCGCTCCACCACTGAGTGTCGACTGCCACGCCGACGGCCATCTCGCATCTCCGAGGCCCTTCCTTCACTGTCTTGTCTGCTTGCAGCCAGCGTGCACGGCTCCCCTCGTCTGTTCCCGTCGCGCGACTCGGGCCTTCTGCAAATTTCTGGAAAAAAACCCTTCAGAGTGACATCGCAAACGCGTCGCGCCTCGCATCAGATCGTATCCACTCCCTTGATCCTCCTCCAGACCTTTCCATGCATCGGGCGAGCCAAAACCCACCGCACGTTTCTCTTACCCCATGGCTCCGCCGTGCAGAGTCAGCGATCGCTGTGGCCTAGACTTTGCAATCCCGCTTACCGTCGGCAGATATTTTTTTTTCTTTTCGTCGTTCCTGGTTTTTTTTGCGTCGCCAACGGCCATCGTGAATAATACAACAATGCTTGCGGCTCAACGTGATCTGTGGGGAACCTCCGTGACACCACCCGGACAGTGAGCTGACACGTTCCTGATGTTCTCGCGACGCAGGCCCCAGGACGGTGCGGGCGCCAATTGGGTGCGCTTCCGTTGCTATGCCTCGACCCCCCATCTCCGGTCATGAGTGCATCTCAACACGATGTCCCTGATCGGCCAATGTCCCCTTCAGCCCTGTACAATTTCCCCCTTGATGCTATTCCCAGCCTTATTGCGCGACTCGATGACGCAACGAAGCTGCAATCAGAGCAAAATGCCGCGGAACGCGTCAACTATGGACACGTACCAGTGGATCGAGGCTGCTTCCAACAACACCACACGATGCGAGACTCAAAACGCCAGCGTGCTCTCTGCTCCCTGACCGGCCGCCCACCCGCGCGCGTGCAATGCAGCGTGCAGTGTGCAGTGTGCAGCCCGCAGCCATGATTACTACAACACGTACTCCGTATGCGTGCTTCGCCATCCATCACCACCATGCCTATTCCTCACCATCGCCGTGATCATGCCCGCAATCCTCATCCCAGGGAAAAAGAGATAGCCGCAGACAGTCTGGTCTGGCCCGGCCCCCCCTCTCCGCAACACCCACCACGCTCTCCTAGCGCCCAGCGCATAGACGGAGCCACCTCCACCACGTCCAACACCACACAAAATACAAGGTAAGCGCTCACGTCTCCCTCGCTGACCTGAGGTTGGCGAGAGACACGCTCGTTCCTGACGATCGAGATCGTCCGCACCGCACCGCGCCGCTCGCCGCCACGCTTGGGTTGTCGTTATGTAATGCCAACGCCCGACCTGCTGGTGCCCGGGCGCTTGCCCTTCACCTGTGGCGAACAGAAGGAATGAAAAAAAAAAGGCACGAAAAGAGCAAGGAAGAGAAAAGAACATCGTCGGGCCGCTCCTTGCTAGCTACCCGGCCTGCTGGAGTTTTGACATGCTTGTGTCCCAACGTCGTGCCAACTTCTCTTGCCTGTCAGAAAGAAAGAAAAAAAAGAAAAAAAAAAAAAAAAAAAAACCCTTCACGCTGCGTCTCCTGCCCCCGACCCTCTCTCTCTCTCGCTCTCCTCCGCTATGCCACCACACACGCCACACATCCGAGATTGAGATTGCAGCCGCGCCTCCTGAACGCGTGCGTGCTTGCTACATGTAAGCCACGACAATAATAACACAATAGCCCTTCCCTCTTCCCCGAAATCCCGCTTCATAGCGCCCGCCGCGCTTCCTAATAAAACCGTTGCTTCCTTGCAATAAATCGGCTTCATGCGGCCACGTTTCCGAGCGCGAATTCAGGGGGGAGAGAGAGGGTCGAGACGTTCCGGAACGCTTGTGATTACTTGATACGAGGGCGGCGTCTTGCATATATACAATTTTCACGCTTCGCACAGATGAGATGCGGTGTTCCATCGCAACAGCTGCTGCGGCGCTGAGTCAGCTCGTCCCGTAACGCCCCCAAATCCAATGACCCCTGATGGCGCCGCCACAAAATGGCTGGCTGGCTGGCTGAGCCTCGCTCGCTGCGCTGCGCTGTTTTGCAGCTTGCAAGCTTGCCTGCCTGCCTGCATGAGGCGAGCAGAGGGCGAGATTCGTGATCGGGAAGCGCCGGAACGCAGCCACGCAGCGTCTCACGCAATTGGAAAGGGCGATTTCGCGAGGGTTGAAGGCGTACGTAGTAGCTAAAATTGAGCCGTTGCAGCGGATCCAGCCAGCACGCAAGCAAGCAAGCATCACAAGCAGAGCGCCGACGACGACGATGATGAATGAATGATGAGCCGATGCGAATTTGTCAACTATATTGGCACAAGGCCGCTCTCGCACCAATCCCCAACCACGGTTTCCGCACATGGGGCCGTACATGGGGGGCGCCGGCGCGGGGGGCAGCAGAGGCGGATTCCTTCTCCCGCCGCCTGCATATGGAGATGGAAGCGCAAGCACAAACGGGGCAAAAGTTCCCACGCCCGTGGTACGAGTAGAGTAGGGGAGTATACTGTATAGGTTGCAGTCTGCAGAATGCATGTACGCGCACGCGCACGGCCCGGCCCGGCTGCGCAGCCCTAGGTGCCTAGGTAGACGAGAGAGGGTGCTGCGTTCTGCATGAGCCGGCGCGAACCGCGCTGCTGCTCTCTGCTTGCTTGCTTGTGGTGCTTTGACGCTTGTAAGTTGTGCTTTGCGCTTTGCTTTGCTTTGCGCGCGCGCTTGCCCGCCTTGGCGCGACACCGCCACTGCCAGAGCCTGTGCCAGAGCCTGTGCCAGAGCCTGTGCCAGAGCCTGTGCCAGAGCCAGAGCTTTCCAGAGCTCTAGAGCCAGTGCCCCAGAGCCAGAGCTCCAGCTCCAGCCCGCCAGCTCCAGACTCGGTTGCCAGCACAGTAGGCAGCACGCCAGGAGGCGCGCGCGCGCGCCAGCACGGTGGCCACGCACCAGCGAAGCGGTGCGCGATATACCCTCACTCAGGTCACGGAGGATTTAACGATTTTTTTTCTCTCACCGGCGCGCTGGTGCTGCTGGCGGTGCCGGGGCGCCAAACCACAGAGCACGTTGCCTAAGGGTAGGCACAGTCACAGCATCTACCTTCCTTCCTTCCTTCCTCCCAGGATGCGGAGGAGCAGCCGATGCGGGGCGCGGCTGCGTGCCGAGTGCGAGACCGGCGCGCTGGTGGGTGTGCCGTTGGGGTGGCGAGGTCGATATCGGACGCGCACCGTCCGTAGCACCGCAGTCCTAGTTAGGACGGGTGTAGGTACTCGTAGGTTGGTAGGGTTCGATGACTCTTTCTGCTCTGGCTGGGGGTTCCCGACGGGCTGGCGAGCGAGTATGTACTCTAGCTGCTTTGACCCCGCTCGTTGACGCGCGGCGCTGGCGCCTTTGGTGGGAGTGGGAGTGTGAGTCTACCTATGAGTATGCGGATGGATACGCTATTGCTGTGCTATTGCTGCTGCTAGACGCTCGTGGTTGAGGAGTCATACTCGCGGTCGCGGTCTTGCTCCTTCCTTCATGCTTTCCTTCCTTCCGTCCTCCATTAGGTACCTACTGCACCACTCTCCTCCCCCTCACACAGCGCACTAGGTAGCACGCACGTGCACAGCGGGCAAGCGGGCAGGCGGGGTGCACGACGGGAGGCCTATCCAGGCCTCCAGCATCCAGTACCAAGCATCCGGGACGGGAGTCGGGACGGAGGGGGTCTAGGCGTGCGCCCGCACCCCCCCCCCCACCTACCTGAGTCTTGTCCTGTCCCCGCTCCGCTTTGCCGCGGCCTTCCGCTTTGCCCCCGCTCCGCATGCACGCAAAAGCCGCTCCTGCGCGCGTGCGTCTCCCGCTGCCGTGCTGGGATTGAGGATTGGGGTTGGGGTTGTTGCGGCGGAGGCGGGGGCGGGGCCGGAGCGGGGGACGGAGGGCGGAGGGGCTTGGCGTTTGTTGGTGGGGGATGAGAGTGCTGTACCTGTATATGTCCTGCTGTGCTCCTCCATCATAGTCCACGCTTGCTTGTCTCCTCGCCTACCACCCACAGACAGGGACAGTGTGTGTGGCTGTGGCAGTGTAGGGGCAGGGGCAGAAGAAGAAGGGGGATGAAGAGCGAGCGGGTAGGAGTGAGTGTCCGGCGGCGCCTCTTGATAGCGAGGATACGCCATGTGTGCTAGCTTTTTATAGTTTTTCAGTTTTATAGTTTAGTTTAGTTTAGTTTAGTTTTGTTTTGTTTTGTTTTATTTTTGGGGCGGGTGAGGGCTGGGGGGCTTGTGATGGGGATGGGATTGGGACTGGGGCTGGGGTAGCGCGTTTGTTTGTTGTCTGTAGGGGTGTGTGGTATCTAAGCTCTCGAGCACGCAGGTGAGAAAGTAAGCAAGTAGACGGCAGACCCGTTGCCCCAGTGCCGTAGCACTCACGCACTCACTGCACATGCACGCACGCGGCATGTTCACATTTTCCATCAGTACTGAAAACCTGCGTCTGTACGCTTCCTGCTAGGTGACAGATATGTACTGTACTGTACGACTATCTACGCGCTCGAGTGCTGCACTGTATTCAGGGAGGGGGCTAATGCTTTTATTTGAGGCGTGCTGGGTGAGTGAATGAGAGAGAGATGGAGAGACGAGAAGGGAAACCGCTTGTGCTCGCGCTGATGGGAGGCTGATCAAGGGTTGGGGATGAGATGCCAGGGAAGGAGAGAAAGGAACCACTTGTGCTCTGCTCGCTTCACCCGATGCGCTGCGGAGACTGATCAAGGGTACGTATGGTATGTACGAGAGGAAGGAGAGCGGAGAAGAGAGAGAGAGAGAGGAAAAAAGGGGGAGCAGAAACGAGAGAAGCAAAGAAGAAGACACAAAAAGCCATCACGTCGTCACCACCAACACCACCACCACCACCATCTCTAAAACGGCCACCGCCACTCCCGCAACTCCTGCGGATCAACTCCCTCATGGAAAGCGTAATTCTTCGCCGTAATCTGCTCATTCAACAAGCGTTCCCTAGCCACTCCACCACGGTTCCCGAGCCCAGGAATGCGATCAATAGCATCGATAGCGAGGCTGAAGCGATCAGTGCCATTGCGCATAGCCAGCTCGAGCGGGGTATTGATATTGCCCTTCTCCTTGTACCCCGTAACATGCAGGTTATGCTGGCCACGGCGCGCATACGTCAAGCGATGAATGAGCCAGGGATACGAGTGGAAGTTGAAGATGACGGGTTTGTCGTCTGTGAAGATGGCCTTGAACTCTGCGTCGCTGAGGCCGTGGGGGTGCTCGTGCGCTGGGATCAGCTTGAACAGGTCCACGACGTTGACGAAGCGGATCTTGAGGCCGGGGAGGTGCTGGCGCAGCAGCGCTGTCGCGGCTAGCGACTCGTGCGTCGGCACGTCGCCGCAGCATGCCATTACGACGTCTGGCTCCTCGCCGATGTCTGTCGATGCCCACTCCCAGATCCCGAGCCCTTTCGTGCAGTGCGCGATTGCGGCGTCCATGTCGAGGTACTGCAGGTGGTTCTGCTTGTCTGCTACGATGACGTTCACGTAGTTGCTGCTGCGGAGGCAGTGGTCCGCTACGCTGAGCAGGCAGTTTGCGTCGGGTGGGAGGTAGATGCGCACGACTTCGGGGGATTTGTTGGCCACGACGTCCAGGAAGCCGGGGTCTTGGTGCGTGAAGCCGTTGTGGTCTTGGCGCCAGACGGTAGCTGTGAGGAGGATGTTGAGCGAGGCAATCTTGACGCGCCAGTCTACCTGTTGGTGGTGTTGCGTGTTAGTAGTGGTGGTGTTGGGGGTTTGGCTGAAACTAGTGGCGCCTGGAGAGACTTGCCTCGATACACTTCTCAAGCCACTTGCAGTGCTGGTTCACCATCGAGTCGATGATGTGGATGAAGGGCTCGTAGCTGTTCAGCAGACCATGTCTGCCGGACAAGATGTAGCCCTCCAGCCAACCCTCGACCGTGTGCTCACTCAGCATCTCCATGACCCGGCCGTTGTAGGCCAGGTTTCCGCCGTCCTCGTCCTCTTCAAAGTAATCCGCAAGCCAGACCTTCTTGCCCACGTCGTAGATCGCATCCAGCTTGTTCGATTGCGTCTCATCCGGGCCAAACACCCGGAAATTGTCCATGTTCCTACGAACGACCTCGCGCAAGAACGTGCCGAAGCGGTTCATGCTGCCATCCTCGGACACGCCACTCTTCAAGATATGGAACTTGAAGTCGCGGAAGTCCGGTACGTGCAGCTTGTGCCTGACCAGTCCGCCATTCGCGACGGGATTGGCACACATGCGCCGATTTCCCGAGGGCGCCAGCTCGCGCAGCTCAGGCACCAGCCTGCCCGCCTCGTCGAACAGCTCCTCGGGCTTGTAGCTGCGTAGCCAGTCCTCCAGCTTCAGCAGGCTCTCCGGCTTCGTCGCCACGTCCGTGATCGGGACTTGGTGTGCTCGCCAGAAGCCCTCGAGGAAGTGGTCGCCGAGCTTGCGGGGCCCGGTCCAGCCTTTGGGTGTGCGCAGCACGATCATCGGCCACCGCGGCCGGAAGGCTTTGCCTGTCTCGCGCGCTTCGGATTGGTACGCTTTGATTTTCTTGACGCAGTCTTCGAGCGTGGATGCCATGGCTTGGTGCATTGACTCCGGCTCACTGCCTTCGACAAAGTATGGCTCCCAGCCGTAGCCCCTGAAGAGCGCTTCGAGCTCTTCATGGCTGATGCGGGCAAGAAGGGTGGGATTGTTGATCTTGTAGCCATTGAGGTTCAACACGGGAAGGACAGCACCGTCGGTGATGGGGTTGAGGAACTTGGTGCTGTGCCAACTGGTAGCGAGTGGACCAGTCTCTGCCTCGCCATCTCCCACCATGGTCAGGGCAATGAGTTCTGGGTGGTCAAAGACCGCACCGAAGGCGTGCGAGATGGCATATCCCAGCTCACCACCCTCGTGAATGCTGCCGGGGGTCTCTGGCGTTGCGTGACTTCCAATGCCACCTGGGAAGGAGAACTGTTTGAAAAAGCGGCGCATGCCGTCTTCATCTTCAGACTTGTCGGGATACGTCTCCGAGTAGGTTCCCTCCAGGTAGGCATTGGCGAGCACCGCCGGCGCTCCGTGGCCTGGACCGGAGATAAAGATGGAATCCAAGTCATACTTTTTGATTAGGCGGTTGAAGTGAATGTATGTGAAGCTCTGACCGGCATCGGAGCCCCAGTGGCCAAGAAGCCGGGCCTTGACGTGCTCGAGGCGCAGTGGCTGCCTCAACAGGGGGTTGTCCTTTAGGTAGATCATGCCGAGGCATAGGTACATGGTGGCTTTGAAATAAGCATCGTACTTGCGGACCTCCTCCTTGGTGAGAGGCTTCTCATTGACGGTCGCGCGCGCAATTCCAAAGGGAGACAAGCTCTCCGTGACGACGCCTTCGGAGCCCATCGCGAAGGTTGTACGAAGAGTGATTGAATGGAGTAGTGAATTACTAGGACAATTGACAGCGGGTGGAGAATAAGAAGGAAAAAGAGCAACAATCTCTGGCACCTCACCTCTTTTATAAGAGCTCGACAACCCCGCCAGAGGACAGGGCAAGCTCGTCGAGCAGTCGATGATCGTTGCGGCAGTCAGCGTCCCTACCCAGCAGGTTCCCCAGCCGTGACCTCACCCCACTGGGGCACTTATCGATCGTCCGGGGAAGCCGCTCATGGACGTCAAAGTGTCAGGGTATCAGACCACAGAAGCAGCTCCATCTTTGCCTGGAAGCCAAGGCCGAGCCGAGCATTCTCTTCTGCACGCGTGCTCTCCGTCAATAAGCAGCGCGCAACGGCACGCCTCCAGCAGAGCCCCTCTCTCCTCGCCACGCCATGCGCCGCCACTCCCGCCTCGGTCTCAGAAGTAAGAGAAGGGGACGAAGATCCATCCGTCCGTTCCTCGCGACAGCTCTCTTTCCCAGCTTCCCCGGCCACTGATCGCCTACCCACGCTCCTCGACTCGGCAAGCCATGCGACTCCGGCGACTTTAGGCAAGTAAGCAACGGCAGCACAATTCTCCCCTTCTTGGCCCCCTCTGGGCGCCACGCTGCTCCAGCCAACGGATCGACCGATCCCACGCGGCCGCCAGCCAGCCTGCCGCGCTCCATCGGGCAGCAGCGCCCGCGCCCATCTCTCCTCTCGTGACGCGCCGCGGCGCGCTCGTCAGCAATACCGCTGCTGTTGCGCGTGTGACAGAGCCGAAGAGGTCGTCGTCCTTGTCAGCACGCGCGATTGGCTGCCGCGCCCGCTCGTACGATCGCCGGCTGCCGGCACACACGGATGGGGAAGCGGCCTGGCGAGCTCCCGGCATCACATGGAGGTGAGAGCCGCTTTGAACTGTCGTCTTTGTCGTCGAGACAGAGTCGAGCGAGAGCGTCTGTTGTCAATGTTAAAGATCGCGCGCAGATTCGATCTGCTGCGAGGTTCTTGCAGGCGATCCCGACGACCGGGAACACCGCAGTCGCTTTGGCACGTGACGCTGCCGGTTGAGGCATTGCAGCTGCCAAAACGGTACGGCAACACGAGAGGATTGCATGTGCCATGTTAGATCTCCCCAGGCTTCTTCTTCTTTCCTGCCCTACGCGCCCGTCGATACGGCTCGCAGCGAACATCGATCAACCTTGATCCAACAGTAAGGGTGACCTTGACCCTGCCCTTAGGATCAATAACTCCTTTTGCGGTCAAGCCATTAGCTGCTATTTTCGGTTCAAAGCAAGTGCTATCGCTATAGCTGTAGAAATTGGGCAAAAATTAGGGAAATGAGCGTATATGCTTCAGTGTAGCGCGAATTGAAATACAGTGGCACGGTAGATCAGTGAACAAATAAATCTTCGATGGGAACTTGAATGTTTGGGACTTTTGGGTAGTATAATTGTTAAGTAAAGGAGTCATGTAGAATATGTACAGGTATTTTATATGTCAAGCAGAAGGAGCCGTTATTCACTGTGTAGTCTTTTCTAAAAATTTCGAAAAATTCGAGAGGGCTGTCTCCACTTCATAAATCCAGAAGGTCCGCATCTATAGTAACTAACTATCACGGTAGTTGATTGACCCTTACGTGCCCACCTGGAAGAGATAGCCGGCAAAAGGGCAGTGATATCATTTTCTTCCTAATCAATCCCTTCTCATTCCTCAAATCTTACACAACAAAACTATCGTACCTAATATCTTCCAAATCAAACTTCCTTTCAAATCAATACTAACACCCACAGATGGCAACGGCAGTCCCTTCAACGCATATATGTACGGCCATTCAAAACACCCAGACAACAACCCCTCACCAATCAACACGCACCACAAACCCCTCCTCAGCCTCCTCACACCGTCCCAATCCCATCCCATTCAAACCCAACAACCGCACGAGCAAGCAAGCAATCCACTCACCATAAGAAAAGCAAAACAAAGGAGAAGGAAAAAAGTGTCTTCAAGACTACGTATATAAACCCGTGTGCGTACACAGCGACCCAAAGCAACAACAAAGCTAGAATAGACAGGTAAAAAGACAAAAGAAAAAGCAAGGAAACAATGCCGTCAAGGCCAGGACGAAAACGCAGCAGCAGCAGCAGCAGCAGCGGAAGCGTTCATCTATCGCGCAACCGACTCTCCCCAAGAATAAGAAAAGAAAGAAAATGAACCCCACTCCCCCCAGAACAAAGATAAAAATAACAGAAGAAAAAAACCGCAGAAAAACGCCATCGCTATGCCAATCTGGATATCAAGCGCGCCGGCAGTCCAGGCGCGCACACTTTTCGCTCTCCGTTGGCCTTGTCCGCCAAACCAACGACTGCAACAAAGGAGACTGACTGGGTAGGTACCTAATGTGTGTATGATTGCCTGCCGAACCGACCGACAGTCAACGCATGCGCCCTCACGAAGCCGTGACCATCCTCAGCCCATCCAGGCCCATCTTCTCTCTATCTCCGTCCTGACTACTCCGCACCTCGCCCTGCCCAGAGCCGGGCCCCGCGCCCGCCGTCCTCATCGTCTGACTGAACCGCTTCGGCGCCTCCTGCGTCTCCTCGCCGTCCACGCTCTCGTCCTCTCCGACCCCCGACTCGGCGTAGCCCTCGTAGTCGCTTGCGTCGCCTTCGCTGGGCGCGGCGCTGCTCGGCGCGTAGCTGGGCGCGTACTCGCTGCCGGCCACCGAGCCGGCTATCGAGCCAGAGATGGAGCCGGATATCGAGCCGCCGATTGTGCTGGGGGCGTATTCGCTCCTGCTGGTCGACCAACGCGGCTCGTCTTCTTCCTCTTCGATGCTCTCTTCGATCGCGCGCGTGTAGACCGGGGAGCGGGGCCCTTGGAAATCGATGATTGGCGTTTGCGGCCCGTAATCTGCGTACGAGTGGCGGATTGTGCTTGTTGGAGAGAACAGCGCGGATTCCGGCGGCTCTGCGTACGGCGTTGGCTCGTCTTCGGCTGAAGGCGAGATACTGAGCGGAGCCGAGGGGATTTGGTTCGATGGGGCAGAGCTCGTCGACGAGATCGAAATCGTGGAGTTGCGCTGGCGGTTGTGTCTACGCTCTTGCAATGGAAGAACGGCGTTATCGTCAGGTTCCGAGTTGTACTCTTCCGAGTTGTATTCGTCTGACGAGTCCTCGTGGACATAGGCAGGCTGAGGGACGTTGTACGAAGGCATTTCGGGTTCTTGCGCCTTCGCGATTGCGTATGCCGGATCATGCGTGAAAGATGACTTGGGTGTAATCGTGTTGCTGGGAGCACCTGCTAGTGCCGGCAAACTATCGTCCAGGTTATCGTCTTCAGGCAAATGGTCCATACCATCTTCGTGCGATAGCTCATCAATGGGAGACCCTTCATCCTCTTGCTCTGCCACAGCCTCATAATGCTCGACCTCAGAGGATGGCGCTGCCGCCGCTCTGAGTGTAGCCGTCGAAGTTCGACGTGAAATACCACGGAACGCCTTTTCCTCCATCAATGGAGTACTGTGGTCAACAGTATCATCGGCTTCGTAGAACGCATCAGCGGTGGCAGGATCCTCATCCTGCTCCTCAACTGGAGAGTAAGGCTCTATGGCTGCAAGTGTAGGCACCACGGCCTTGATCGTTGCGGTCGATGTCCGCCTGTCAGGCTCAGCTGCTCGCGGGACCTCCATAGCCTCGTAAAACAACATGAAGACGCCGCCCTGTGCAAGAACGTCTTCCTTGGAAACCCTCGAAACATCCTCATCGCTCAAACGCCACCAGCGCTCAGTCTCCTCATTCCTAATCAGCGGCTCTTCTTCACCCCTATCAGAATCATGGTCTTCAGCCTCGTACGGATGCTTCCGGTAGCAGATGTAATGACCATTCTCATGCCTTCCGTAGTGAGTGACCACAGACCTCAACTCGTAGGGGAGCACTGGCGAAGAACCACAAGGAGCTGACGAGGGAGGAGCAATCATAGACTCGGTAGGATTCGTGGGCCATCCCCTCATCTCTTCCCCATCTCCACTGCCCAGAGCCCAGGGACCAAGGTCCAAAACTTCTGGGAACTTGACGCTAGCATAGTTTTTGCTCATAGCACCGGTCATCTCATCAAAGACGCTCCGGTTAACGTGAATAACAAGAGATTTCGGCGGGCGGCCGATAACGGCTTGCCTGGACTTGGTGCTGCTGGTCCAATTCTTCCGCGGAATTTGGCATCTCTTGATGACAGTATTGTCGGCAAAGTCCTCATCTTCCAGAGCCTGGCGGACGGTATCGAGGCGAGATTTAAGCGACTCGCGCAAAGCTTCGGGCTGTTCAGATCCATCTCCGTTGCTAAGAAGGCGCTCCATGTTGTCTTTTGTCCGCAGCAGGGTACATTTGGCGCATTCAACACCTTCGATGGGCTCGAGCTTGGTGTATTCATGCAGACAGTCACGGATTTCGCATCCATATCCCCACAAGTTCTGGAGAGGTACAGTGAGGCAGTTGAAAGGAATCATGGATAAACCTTCAGTGAAGCCACAGCTCATGCAGCCAACTCGTTGTGCGAGGAGTCCTTCCAGCGGATTGCGCAGCGTCTCCGGGAATGAGGTAGAGGGGGACTTCCGGAACATTTGGACATTGCTTTGTGTGTTTTCATGCGAGAAGGGAAGATCTTCCAGTCCAGCGAGCTTGCGCGATTGCTTCTCAGCTCGCGAGATCTCCTTGTCAATCTCATCGAGGATCTTTGAGAAGTATTCCTGCGCATCCTGTTGCTGCCAACTACTCATGCTCTTCAACTTTGCGGGAGTCCAGAGATGCCGGCCATGGTTGCCCGGGTCGTTGAGTTTCTGGGAGATGTCCAACAGAGCGCCATGCGTGGAATCATCAGTCAAGCTATCAAACGTAGACATCCCCTTTGTGAGGAAGCCATCAAGGCTGCGCAAAGACGCCAGACCCTGGCCCATCGCTCGTGTTAGATGCAGATCTTCAATCTTAAAATAGACACAGGGGAACGTACCTGTATCACACAATTCTGATAGCAAGAGTTGTCCCAGTTGCCCAGTCCCGGCGGCGTATCATCCCGGCTGCCTTTCAGAAGCTTCCCGACTCCCCTCAGCGTCCTGTCGCCAGCCACAGCCTTGAGCATGCCGGCGCCGTCGAAGCCAAAGATTTTGCGCAGAACCTCGTTCTTGGCCGCGAACACGCTCGCTTTGATCCGCTCCTTCTCGGCCGCATCCGCGCTGCCATCATCCTCGACCACGGTGGTGGACGGGGTGCCAAGGGCGAAGACGAGTGGCGCTGGCATGATGTAGACAAAGCAATTCCAGAAGGTCTCTGGGATAACGCGTAGCGAAAGGTCGTAATGGGCCAGAAGTCGGTTCGCGGCAATGAGCCCGAGTACTAGCAGCACGAACAAGGACGCAGTGCTTGTCCGCGGGTCGTGGCTCTGGAGCACGGCGAAGGTGTCGTGCTGGGGAGCATACTCGTGCATGGTGCCTGGAAGCGCTCAGCCAGGGCGGCGAAGAAGATGACGGTTCGAGACAAAAGGAAAGCTGAGGAGCTCCCTTTGGTGCCGCATCGGGTGGTGCTGCAGCGGCGAGAGTGGAGTGGAGAGTTGGTGTCGAGACCGTTGAGAAGGCCTGGAGCACGAACGGACGGGAGTCTTATGAGAGCTCGGACAACTGTTACACGTACAGGACCGTGGCTGGTGCGTGCCGATCCGGCAATCTCCTGTGGCGCAATCTACCGTACTTTTTTGGTCCCACGCGCTTTCTGCGCAACCATCAGCAAGCAAGCACCACCATGGCAAAGGCCAAGAACCAGCGTATTTTTACCCCAGATCCCCGCGCCGCCGCCGCGCTCTCCCGCTGACCCCTGCTCCAGAAGTCTCCAAGCACTCGCGCGCCGCCCGCCGCGCCGAGTTGCCCGTCGACAAGTCCCTTCTGCCCGACGCTTCGTCTCTTCCCAAGCACAAGCCAAAAGCCGAGGTCAGCGACTCCGTGCTCGCTGCCCAAAATGCCGGCGTCTCCAAGAAGCAGAAGCAGAAGCGCATGACCCACCAGCAGCGCATGCGCCAGGAAAAGGCCATGGACCGCGCAGAGGCCGTCATGGACCAGCTGGAGAAGAAGGTCTCCGAGAGCAAGAGGAGGGGCAGGAAGGTGCAGGACCGAAGAAAGGAGTGGGAGGCTCTGAACGGCGATGCTAAGAAAAAGGTGCTGGCTGCCGACGAGGACAACGACGAGGACGACGTGGATATGGATGTCGCGACTGGGTCAAAACAGGCTACGCTGGCGAGCATCAACGCGGCTACCGTTGCAGCCTCGGGCAGGAAGCCTGCGCCCAAGGCTCCGGTCGCAGCTGAGCCCGAGGCCGAGACTATGGAGGATGAGGTGTACTGAGCTCTGCCGGACGGACGTCTTGGTATTACACACCTACCTCCAGGTTTCTTTGCGCTATAACGTCACGATGCGGTTCGGCTACACTATCCTTCCTTTGAACGCCCGCTGGCAGCGAACAACGACCATGTGAAGGAGCATGGAGTATTCAGCCCGGGCTTCTTAGCGATGAGGCTATCCGTCCTAAAGGCCTGTTAGGTCGTTAAAAGTTTTTCTGGAGCAGATACACTATACCCCTGTTATGACCACGGGAAGACGAAATGAATACTGTCTATATCTGTCAATGCAACCTAATGCAACAAAATTCAAGCCTTACAGATGGATCGCTCAGAATTCTTCGCATTTATAGACGACAGTGGTAAAGTCTCTTGACAGCCAAAGAGCCTGAAGGTTCGGTCTAAGACAAATTAACGTCATCGTCTCACAAATGAAAACATTTTCCAATGCGTTAATGCCACCATGAGGCAGGAGGGGACAGGTTCGGTCTCCGAAGAAAGGCAATGTAATCAGCAATGTAATCAAAACACCCGTTGCTCTCGACTTCATGCAGACATGGTCAAGAAACAAGATCACAACACCAATATGGAATTCAACACTCAAGCGTCAACATGTGACAGAACGACTTCTCACATTCATTGGGGTCGTGTCATAAAGACATTACATAACTATCAATTAGGTTTAGAACTCAATGCTAGTAATAAAAAGCGACGTTTATGCGCCGATAGCCTGGGGGTTCCAGAAGACGCTCTTGGGGTCCACGGCCTTCTTGACGCTCTCCAGTCTCTCGTAGAGCGCGTCGCCATAGTACACCTTGTGGGCCTCCTCGGCGCTCAGGCTGGGGTCGATGTAGTTCAGGTAGGCGCCAAACTCAGCGTTGGGCATCTTGCTGGTCATGGCGTCGTTGAGGCCATCAAGGAAGGTCATGGCGCTCTGGGGCAGGGTCTGGTCGGCTGACGTGAAGATGTAGTGCTGGGCAACCCAGAGCGAGTTACGGTCGCTGTAGGCCGCGAAAGAGGTGTCCTTGTTGTTGATCTGGCTGTCGGGGCCGCCGTACAGGTTGACGATGCTGTACCAAGACGCGCCGGCGGTCTTGCCCTGGTTGATCATGTAGTCGAAGTACGACGTCAGGGCGTCGTGGGTCAGCGGGGTGTCCTCAGGGACAGTGACAGACTTGGCGAAGAAGTTGTCGTGTTGGTCGTAGCCGCTCGTAGGCACCGTAATAGTGGAGGCACCTCCAAGCTTCTGCAGAGACGCGATCCAGCCCATGCTCTGAACGTCGGACGAGGTCGGCTTGGGCAGGCCGCGCAGCAGCTCCGGGGCGATCTTGGAGTTGAACTCGTCCTCGGTGCCGAAGTAGGTGCCGCTGAGACTGAAACCAGAACCGTCCATGTACATGCCGAAGCCAATCTTGCGGTCAACGACAGTGGCGTTCTGTGCGACATCTTGGATGTGCTGGAAGTACGTCGCGGTCTGCTCACCGGACTGCCACATGTCGGCCAGACCATAAGAGAAGTAAACAATGCTTTCAGGAGCCTCGTGCGTCTGCAGGTAGAACTTGGTAACTATACCAATGGAATCCGCAGCACCACGGCAAGCCTAATAATTTCATTAGCATTCGCTTCAGTGAGGATATGTTCAGTTTTTCTTACCCAGTAGACGTCCGAGTTCTCGGTCTCAGTAGCGTGGACTTGAGTGCCGTCGGCAAGCACAACATCCAAGCCGATAATCTGGTCCATGGCCAGACCCCAGTTACGAGAGTCATAACCGTAACCACCGTGGGTAGCATGGCCACCGAGACCAACAGCGGGGCAAGTGCCGTGGGCCATGGCACGCTTGCCCTGGTCGTGGATGCCCTGGGCCAGGTTACCGAGCCTCGTTCCGCCACCAGCAGTAGCAATACCGGTAGTGGCATCCACGTTGATGTCGTGAAGTTCGTGCAGATCAATCATCATGCTGCCGTCCTTGCCACCAAGGCCATAGGCGGCGTAAGAGTGGCCACCACCCCTGGCCTGGACCTTGATGTCGTTCTGGGCCGCGCACACGACCGCATCAGACACATGTTGCTCAGTGGTGGGCAGAACAATGACAGCGGGGGTGTGGGGGAGGCGAAGGTTGTAGGGCTTGGAAAGAGCCGCGAAGTCGTTGGAAGAGATTAGGCTGATGGGGACATCCTTGTCACCCAAGCAGTCAGTCAACGTGGAGGGAGCCGTTGCGGTAGACGTAGGGGCCTGGGTCGACGATGGCTTGCTGGACTGGGAAGTGGTCGGGCTGCTGCCAGTGCATTTGCCTGCACTGGCCTGGCACTCGCTTCCGCAGTAGGCCTCGCCAGTGCCGCACCAACCGAACTTGGAGCAGCAGTTGCCAAAAGAGGAGCCAGCGCATGTAAAGCCAGACGTACCACCGCAGCTGCCGTCGGTTGAGACCTTGAGAGCATCGCCAGCCGGAGCAGGAGCCGCGGCAGCAAGGCCAGCCAAAGTGCTGGCGGCCAAAAGAGACTTGAACATCATCTTGGCACTGACGCCCGGGGGGAGGTATTAAGAGAGATTAGAAGGAGGCCTATAAAGATCCTCGGATAGTGAAAGCGAATGAAGATGAGCGAGCGAGGTGGTGAAAGAGAAGTATCTGGGGGGGGGGGGCATCTAGATAGTTATAGGTAGTAGAGCGGGAAGAAGCAGGTGCGGTAACATTGCCCAAGCAGGCAGCAAAGCAGCCGCCAGAGCCGCATAGAGGTGCACACTCGCACGGCACGGAGGGCCCTAATACGGACTACGATGGGACCTCACAGTTCCATAGACGCCACCAACGTGCAGCTTGTCCAAAGCTTGAGGGAAAATACGAGGGAAGCGGCCAACCATGCTGTGACAGGCATAGATGCGCTGCGGCGGGCCGACGTCCTGGGCGGAGATTTCGCTCCTGGCCCGGGGATAGGGCTGGCCGGCGGGGCCAAAAATAGCCCTCTCCGCAGTACGCTGCCAGTCTCTCACCTCAGCCCGCTCTCCACATAGCGTGTGGCTTATGGCTCGCGATGATGACATTGCCTCGCTGGCACAGAGGGTGGCCTCGAGGTCCAACAAGTGATTAGTTTCACGTCTGGCTTTGCTCCTCAACAGTCTTCGGACAAATATCCTTGCGCCGATCCGTACTGCTAATGATCGCCCTTCTGGAAAGGCAAGCCGACTTGCCGGCGGGGTTTCATGCTCAAGAGAAAGGAGAAGCAGCCACCCACATTTTCTGCTAGGACAACATGAGAGTAACCTGAAGTCAGACGCGTTCACGCGATGGTGGTATGTATGGATCTGCTACAGGTCTCGGAGTGACCGTTTTCAGCCTGCATCAGCATAGTCTTTTAAGGTTATCGGTCTTAGGCATACAGCACCGAATACAACAAAAATAGTGCTGCCTGGTGCGGATACCCGGTTTCCGATTCATGGCCAAAGCGATAAACGAACACGACGGTGCTAGCTTCAGAGCAATGCACGCTGTTGGAGGAGCCAGCCTATGGTTCCAGAGCCATGTGGGAGCCACAGTGCTCAGCTTCTGATGGGCTTAGTTTCTGTTCTGCCGGGAAACATGACACAGCATTACGGTGCTTGAGCTAGGTATGTAGTATGCCGTCAGCCGCATTGGCGCACATTCCCTTGCCAGTTACGGCGGAGGCGGCGAGTGGCTTACAGCGGGCGTCAACTACGCTAGGAGACAATGATAGGTAATCAATTATAGTGAGGCTCTTTCCATTGGAGATCTCCTGAACAGTTGCTACGTTAGACGGTGTGTTTAGGGGAATTGACGCCTCGCACCGGATTGGTACTACTTCTGTGTAAAACGGTCTCCCGCATGTCCGAGCCAAAAGCAATACCCCCACCTATCTAGTAGCGCTCAACGCTTGCTTACTAGCCTAACTTTCAATTTAACGCCAAAACGCTTTCGCTACGCTTCTTCTACAACCGAACCATCAACAAACGCCATAAGCCAAGCCGTGAATATGACGCTGACAATGCCACCCTTCAACCGCACGCAAACCCGACGGCAGGCGTCCGTATACCGGAGCTGGAGCGGGAAGCGGACTGCGTAATAGTGCTTTTGTCGGGGCCTGTGATCGTCTGACCTTTGTTGACTGCGAACTGCGACGAACGCTTGTGTGCGGGGTCGTGGCTCTGCGAGGTGCGTTAGTGCTGCTGAACGTCGTGCAGCAACGGATAGGGGACTCACGTAGTACTCGTCAATGATGGGGTGGATCATCACAGTCTGCTTGTGAATAGTGACCGTAGAGTTGGTAGGGACGGTAACCCAGTTGTCTGTACGACGTGTCAGTGGGTAAGTACAGCTAGAAAGAACGGTGGGCTTACCTCTCTCAAAAGTCAATGGCTCACTAGCTACGAGCACAATGTCGGCACCCTTATCCCTCCTCTCCATTTTGTAGTCTTTCTTGTCAGCATCGATGTTGACATTGCTCTGCTCCTTCCAGCTGGTACCAGAGGAAAAGAACAGGCTTGCCGCCTCATCAGTCATGCTGCTCACGTATCGCGAGCAAACAACACTGGTTCCATCCGTGACCGCAAAGTTGAGCAAGCTCCTCGTATCCTCCTCCTTGACGTCCGCTGTGATTCCCTTAATAAGCGTATTAATTCGCTCAATAGTCTTCAACATTGCCTTCCTCAGAACCGTGTGTCCAAATCCATTCTCACCAACTTCCGCGTTGGGCGAATGACCCATGCGCTCCATGCTGTCCAGGAAGAGAGCAAAGCACCACTCGCTATCCGTGGAGCCTTGGACGAAATTGAACCACTCGTCGCCCAGCGATGCAGCAAGTCGTCTTTTGACATGCTTCCAGCCGCCGACTCCGCCATTGTGCATCCACATGAGCCCCCTGTGCCGGAAGGGGTGGCAGTTGCTGTCGGAAAGGTTACCTTCCGTGGTGGCGCGAACATGCGCGAAGATCAGGTTCGAGGTCGTCTTCGAAGCAAGGCGCTCCAGGTTAATGCAGTTCCACGCGGGAATGGTAGACGTGAAGATACAGGGCTCGGGACCCAGGTCAGGCGACGTGTAGTAGCCGACACCAAAGCCATCGCCATTGTGAGGGCGGCGCGTGTCCTGTCAAAAGTTAGAAACGCGGTCCGGGGGCGGGCAAGTTGGAGCTGCGCACGAGTCGGAGGCGGGAGTCGTAGGATTGGGTCAGGATGGAATGCGTGGGGTCAAGGATGAGCTTGGAGAGCAGAATCTCATCCTTGCCTTTGTAGACCTGAGAGATGTAAGTTCCCGCTTACGGCATCAATCGCTCTGGCGGGGGATCTACCAGAAATCTGCACATGGTACCGTCGCAGGGCTTGCCGAGGGGAGTCAGAGGTTAAAGACACGGCAGGAGACAAGGAGGCACTGCGGAGATAACTAGGTGCGGGCTACAGTGCCGATGGTTGTACACGTCTCACGAAGCTGGGAGTTTGTTGGCAAAAGAAAGAAATGCGGTAAGACGGGGCGGGCTTGGAGGTTCCAAAGGGCAGCGCGCGATGACGCGATCCTAACGGCGACCTGCCTAGGTACCTAGCGACCTATCTATCGCCTTATCGTGGAAGATGAAAGGATTCATTCCAACCAGAAGCCATAGCTCCAGCCAGCCGGCGGAATGCATCTTTAACCCCGCGCAGATACTAGTCAAAGCCAATCCGTGGTGTTGAGAGCTGCTACTCCCTACAGGGCAAGGACAGTCGCACGTGTCCCTTGCTAGGGCTGGCCAAGGCGGTCTACGTCAACCCGCTCTCCCAAACAGCTTCCCCATTAGCACCGTTTTCCTTCTCTATCCCTATCGCACCGCCAACTTATGACCCGGCGGCTGCGCTGATTTCTCCTTGCAAGCATGAGCGGGAGGCTCCTCTCCGCGCGTTTGGCTCCCTTGGCTCGCCGCGCTCAACTATTCGCTCCGCCGCGGAGGTTTACCCACGGCCTGTCCTCCAACGCGGGGGGTCTTTTGCGCTCAGAATCCGGACTCCGCACATCCCGCCTGCGAACATGGCCTCCTGGCGCCTATTCGTTGCACAACGTCCCCGCCGTCCGCACGATATCCTTTGTCCGCATCCTCCCTAAGCTTTTCCAGAAATTTGCGACCTTGGGTGCTGTCGGAGGGGCTACAATCGTCGGAGGACTCGTATACCTGCAAAATCAGGCTATAAGTGCGTCATACATTTTTTGCAACCTAAAGCTCCGCTAACGGCTATCATCATGCAGAGGGTGTCGATTGGGCCAGCAACATTTTGAATAACGGAAAAGACTTGGCCACGGGCACCGCGGGCACCCTATTCGAAGGCGCAAACGGCATCTATCAACAGACGAGGGATGGCTGGAATAAGACCAAGGCGGATTTGGAACTGCCGGAATGGCTGCAGAACCTGTTGAAGGCAGATGAAACGTCTGGTGGTGGTGAGCAGGAAGGCCCTTCTGGCCCCGAAGGCTCTCCGAAGCAGAGCGGCTCAGGCGCAGCGGCTGCGGGCGGTGCCTCCGCCGCCGCTTTCGGCTACGAGCAATCGGGAGATGATGACCGGTCGGATGAGAAGATTGCCCGGGACGAACAGATGATGATGCTTACGAAGAAGATGATTGAGATCAGAGGCCTTCTGCAGACAGTCGGCCAGTCCGATCAGTTGACTCTTCCCTCGATAGTGGTCATTGGATCGCAGTCTTCGGGCAAAAGCTCAGTCCTGGAAGCAATTGTCGGTCATGAATTCCTTCCTAAAGGATCCAACATGGTCACCCGGAGGCCCATCGAGCTGACACTGGTCAATACTCCGGAAGCCAAGGCTGAATATGGAGAGTTCCCAGCTCTGGGTCTTGGGAAGATTACGGATTTCTCCCAAATCCAGAAAACCCTGACGGACCTCAACCTGGCCGTGCCGGCTGAGCAGTGTGTCACAGACGATCCTATCCAGCTTCGCATCTACTCTCCGAATGTCCCTGATCTCTCTCTTATCGATCTTCCTGGATACATTCAAGTGGCTGGTCGGGACCAACCCATTGAACTCAAGGAGAAGATTGCCGAGCTCTGTAACAAGTACATCCAGCCCCCCAATGTCATCTTAGCTATCTCTGCGGCCGATGTCGATCTGGCCAATTCTACCGCCCTGCGTGCATCCCGGAAGGTCGATCCTCGGGGTGAGCGGACCATCGGTGTCATTACGAAGATGGATCTCGTCGACGCCGCTAGAGGCGCTGATCTGCTTACTGACAGAAAGTATGCCCTTCGGTTGGGCTACGTTGGCGTGGTATGCCGCGTCCCTCAAACCACTGGAGGTCTCTTCACCCGGGGCAATGGCAACATCCAAAAGGCCATCACACGCAACGAGAATGCGTACTTTTCGTCTCATCCTTTAGAGTTTGGGCCAGAAACTGATGTCGATGTTGGCACGAATAACTTGCGAAAGAAGCTTATGTATGTTCTCGAGAACACCATGGCTTCAAGCTTGAAGACGACGAGCGAAGCGATCCAGCGCGAACTGGCTGAGGCTACTTATGAGTTCAAGGTGCAATACAACGACCGTCCTCTCAGCGCCGAGTCTTACCTCGCAGAGAGCCTTGATGCCTTCAAGCACTCGTTTAAGGACTTCTCTGAGCACTTCGGCCGCCCTCAGGTTCGCGAGATGCTCAAGCATGAGTTGGACCAGCAAGTTCTTACTCTCCTTGCCCAAAGGTACTGGAATCGGCCATTCGACGACCTGCAACCTCCACTTCCGGAAACGGATCCTCTGATTGAGCTACCGAAAGCTGATCCTGATAACCCACTTTGGCACTTGAAACTTGATGCCTCAAGCTCATCCCTGACGAAGCTTGGTATTGGGCGGCTAGCCACGACAGTCGTTGCAAGCTCTTTACAGGCTCACGTCGACCACTTGATTGCTAACTCCACTTTTGCCGCGCACCCGTTTGCCCGTCAGGCCATCACCGAGGCCTCGACTTCCATCTTACGGGAGCTTTCTTACGACATTAGCGATGAGCTGGAGATCTGCATCAAGCCGTACAAGTACCGGATCGAAGTTGAGGACCACGAGTGGACAAAGGGCAGGGAGAGCGTGACTGCCGTGCTCAAGGAAGAGCTGCTCATGTGTGAGAACGCTGTGAAACAGGTGGAGAACGAAGTAGGAGGTCGTAAGAAGCTCAAGGATGTCATGGGTTTTATTGACCGTGTGAGGAATGGTCAAGTTGTCATTGAGGGCAGTGGCATCGGTGGCGCAGGAGGATTCAGCGCAGCTTTGCTTGAGAAAGGTACGCTGTCACTGCTTTCCTTTCTTTGCGATTGGCCGTATACTAATGGTTCCATCAGGACGTGAGGGTGTTTTCCTCCGGGACCGTGTCGATGTCCTCAAGATGCGCCTCATGGCGATCAAGTCCAAACAGTGTGCGAACAAAAAGAACAAGTACTACTGCCCGGAGGTCTTCCTGGACGCAGTCGCGGACAAGCTGACTACGACGGCCGATCTTTTCCTCGATGCCGAGCTGCTGTCCAAGTTCTACTACGTCGTAAGTTCTAATCTTATGCTTCGCTGGGTCTCACTGTTAACACGCGCTAGTTCCCCCGCGAGCTAGAGGCTCGCCTTGGTCGTAACCTGTCTCAGGCCGAAATCGAGCGTTTTGCGCGCGAGGACCCTAAGATCCGCCGCCACCTGGATGTGGTACGGAGGAAGGATCTGCTTGAGCACGTGCTGAAGGAGATGGAGTCCTTGCGGCAGCTTGAGGCTAGAGAGAAGCGTGGTATTACGCGCCCGTCGGAACGGGGGTTCAGGGAAAGGGATGGTCAGAGGGGACGCGGATGGGGTCTGTTCTAGCGTAGAGATCGATGCATTGGGTATGGCTGCGCAGGCGTTTTTCAATTGTTGCGAAGATACCAAAACCGGGGGAGGAATCATGGAACACGATACGCCGCTCCCTCGTAAAGTAGACGAACACGACAAATAGCAACTCTCAGTCTGGGTGTCTGGATGCGCGGAGCTTGGGCCGTGGGTATCTCCGGCTAAGTCCGCTGGGTGACAAGCTGCGGCGAGCGTCATTCCAGCCGAAGCTCGACGCCAGGACGCCGTTCACAGTCGGTCAACCTCCCACCACTTTTGCACGCAACCCAGCGTCAACGCTCGAACAGCGCGTCCTCGCGGACACAAACAGGCAATCCATGCAGGGTCCGCATTCCCCCGCTGGTGCTGATTCAGACAACGCTCAACCCTCCTCCGACCGCAAGCGCAAGCTCCACCAAGCTCGTGACGCCACTAAGCAGCAAACCATATCCGACGTTCTATCTACTTCGCAGCAAAAACCCACCACCGTGTCGCCCCGAAGCAAACGTGTCAAACCCAATCCTCCAGACGGAGAGGCTTCGTCACATCACCCCGCAACCGCGACAAGCACGCGACCTCTGCCGCCAGAGAAGATGTACACCTTCACGAGCAAAAGGAATAATGGGGAAGTCATAGATCTTACGGGCACCCCGAGCCCGGCTCCGAGTCCCGCCCGCCGTCCCAATGGCGCCCGTAAGCCAAACTTCAATCCTCATACCGGAGCCAAACAACTTGTGGTCAAGAATCTCAAGAAGCCGTCGACGAAGGATCCGTGGGAATACTTCAACACGATTTGGACCAAGATTGATGCAGCATTGGACACGGTTTTCAAAGGCGATGAAATCAACTTCTCCCTCGAGACGTTATACAAGGGCGTTGAGAACATCTGCCGCCAGAATCAGGCTGCCGATCTGGCGAACAAGTTACATGAGAAATGCAGGACATATGTTGAGACTGGATTGAAGGACCCATTAATTGCGAAGGCGAGCGCAAGTAATGTGGACGTGTTGAAGGCGGCGCTGTCAGCTTGGAAGACGTGGAGGGCTCACCAGGTATGGGCATTTTGGTTGCCACATTCAGTTTGCCACATTGATGTCCATCTGACAAAATTTCCAGAAACCACTCCTATGGATATTCTGCTTCCTCGACCGCTCGTACTTGCTACCACGAAACCAAACTCTCGACGCTCAGTCCATCGTATTCTTCCGCACTCTTATCTGCGAAGACCCCACTTTACAGCCCAAGATTGTGATGGGGGTCTGTGATCTTGTTGCAGCTGACAGATCCGGTGATGACTTCGACAAAGATATCTTCAAAGATGCTGTCTCCATGTTCCATAGTCTAACAATCTACACTAGCACACTTGAGCCCAAGCTCCTAGAACTCTCACAGCAGTACATCATTAGCTGGGGAGAACAGTCTAGCGCCAGCAAGAGTCTGGCGGAATATGTGCGTAGCGTGATGGAGCTCATAGAAAGGGAGATGGAACGCTGCGAGCTTTTCAACTTCGAGGCTACTACCAGCCGTGATCTTCTTGGTTTACTGGAAGAGCATCTGATCCAGAAGCAGCAAGAACGCCTGGGTATGGGTTTTTTGTTCCTTGATAGGGATTTTACTTTGAAAGCGCCATTGCTAAGATATCATAGTCAACCGAGACGAAATTGCCGACCTCATGGACGAGAACGCAGTGCACGATTTGGAGCAGACATACAAGCTTCTTGATCGCAGAGGTCTTGGAACTAAGCTGCGACCAGCTTTTGAGAAGTGGATCGAGGACACTGGAACTGCAATTGTATTTGACGAAAAGGAGCAGGAGTCCATGATCATCAAGCTTCTTACGCTGAAGAAGCAACTTGACACTGTCTGGCGCGTGTCCTTCCATCGCGACACTGAGCTCGGCCATGGCCTTCGCGAAGCCTTCGAACTTTTCATCAACAAATCCAAGAAGACAACTGCAACCTGGAACACAGACAATTCGAAGCCAGGCGAAATGATCGCCAAGTACGTCGACACGTTATTGCGCGGCGGCGCCAAAGCCATCCCTACTCAACTTTCTCTTATCGCGGCTAAGCAAGCCGACCCTGAGGTTGATGAAAACGAGTTGGCTTTTGATGAAGACACGGAAATGAACAACCAGCTGGACCAAGTCCTCGATCTTTTCCGGTTCGTTCATGGCAAGGCAGTCTTTGAAGCTTTCTACAAGAAAGACTTTGCGCGCCGTCTGCTCATGGGACGCAGTGCCAGCGCGGATGCTGAAAGAAGCATGCTGGCGCGTCTCAAGACAGAGTGTGGTGCTGGCTTTACACAGAACCTTGAGCAGATGTTCAAGGATATTGATTTGTCCCGTGAAGAGCTAGGCAGCTACAAATCGCTTCTCGAGGAGCGTGGTGACAAAGTCGGTGTTGATTTGTCTGTCAACATCCTCTCAGCATCTGCCTGGCCAACTTATCCAGATATTCCTGTGGTTATCCCTACCGAGATCCAGGGCGCGCTGGACAAGTTCACAGACCACTACAAGAGCAAGCACTCCGGGCGCAAGTTGGACTGGAAGCACGCTCTTGCGCACTGTCAGATCCGCGCTCGATTCCCCAAGGGCAACAAAGAGCTCATCGTCTCATCCTTCCAAGCCGTCGTCATGCTGCTCTTCAACAACGTCAAGCCAGGCGAGCACCTAAGCTACGAGCTCCTGAAAGCGGAGACGGGACTTCCGCCACCAGAGCTCAAGCGCACGCTGCAGTCGCTGGCGTGCGCCAAGCTGCGCCCACTGACAAAGCACCCCAAGGGCCGCGACATCAACGAGACGGACACGTTCACCTTCAACGAGAAGTTCACGCACGAGAAGTACCGGCTGAAGGTCAACCAGGTGCAGCTGAAGGAGACGAAGGAGGAGAACAAGGAGACGCACGAGCGCGTCGCCGCGGACCGCAACTTCGAGACGCAGGCGGCCATTGTGCGCATCATGAAGAGCCGGAAGCGGATTGGGCACGCGCAGCTTGTTGCCGAGGTCATTGAGGCGACGAAGAAGAGAGGCGTGCTGAGCGTGCAGGACATCAAGAAGAACATTGATCGGTAAGTGGGACTGCTGGACCTAGTGGTGTTGTTGAATGAGTGCATGCTTTCTCGGACATTTGCTGACGGTTCTCTTTTTCCTCTAGGCTCGTCGACAAGGACTATATGGAGCGCGAGGAGAATAACGAGTACAGCTACATTGCTTAGACGTGGGAATGCCACTCTCGGATTTTGCTGGCAGGCTCGCCGGTTTTCAGTGGGTGTTGTGGTAGGATAGCCGCCTGAGAGTTTCCATGGTTGGTCTAGGCATGGCTGGAATGTACTCAGCCTTCGTGGCAACGAACAAATTAAACTTCCATTGATGGGGTGGCTTGAAATTGGCTCTAATACGGTTTCGTGTTTTGCGTTTTAGTTGTTGCTGGGGCTAACGGGTATAGAGTAAGAATCGTCAAGGAATAAATGGAGGCGAACCGCAACCAAGGATTATTTTCTTACCTTCATATTTGAGCAAATTTAACAAACAGATAATGTTACCTAAAACATTCACCACGGGCAGCCTGTCGAGAACTGCCCTTGCCTCATGCTCAGTCACAAACCACCAAGCGCATCTTGAAGTCATTGTACGAGTATCATCGTGCAAACATAAAAGTTATCCCAGCATCACAAAAGCGTACAACCAGCCAATACCATCGCACAGCTGTTCCGGGAAGAGTATTAACAGTCAATTAGGTATTAAAAACATTAGCAATACTACCTAGGTAGCCTCCAAAGTCCACAACGCCGCCCCAAGCAACCACCCATCAACGCACCAAGCACAAACACCCACACCCACACACCAACCCATCAGTTATAGTAACCCCAGACAGGCGGATTCTCACCCGTGTACTGATGCGTGCCCAAGCCAGTCAGGTTAATACAGTCCGTATGCGCAAACTGGGGAGTGATAGCATAAGCGTTCCACTTGGCGGGATCAGCGACATTGGGGCAGGCGACGGCGCCGCCGACGCCGGGCGCCGCGTCCGGGGCCGCAAAGGTCCAGTAGCCGGTCGGCGCGGCGCAGTTGAACCGCTCGTCCGTCGTGTCGCAGTTGGCTAGCGGCGCTTTTTGCTCGTCGGTGGGCTGCGCCGTCCATGTCCAGCCCATGTAGTTCCAGTACGCCGTGCTGGGGATCGAGTGCGAGTGTTGGACTGTGAAGAGGATTTGGCCGTCTGTGTTGACGTAGAGGTTTTGCCCGCCGGGGACCATGGCGGACTGTGGTTATTAGCGGTGGTGTTTTTGTGTATGAGCTAGGAGTTGTGGAGGTGGGGACTTACTGCGCCTAGCGTGCCGCCAAAGACTGTCTCAGTGCCATTGGGACATGCCCAGGTCTGCGATATTGGGCAGATGTTGGTGACGTGAGCCTGCAGGAGGCGGCCGCCATCTTGGAACTTTCCGCCGTTGACGACCGAGTTGGCCGGAGCGTAGGCCGTGAGGGTGTAGGGGTAGTTTGGCACGACCTCTGCGCGCTCCTGGACTGGTTGGGCAAGAGAAGAGGGGAGGAGGCTAATGGTGGCTAGGAGGATTGTTGAGGCGATCATTGTGAATGGAGGCTTGACAATGAAGAAGCTGTAGGTTGCTGATTGATGCTTCGAAAGATGAAGAGTGGCGGTCTGTTGCTTTTGGCTCACTGCTCGCCTTTATATATGTCGAGACGACTCCGGCTCAATTGCAGAAGGCACCAGTTCTTATCAGAAGTAACGAGAGATGTGTTAGCGTGAAGTGGCAGCGTCGCAGTGAGATGTGGAAGGAGCACTCGTATTGACTGTCCCGGGGCAGTGGCACAGCCATGCATTTCTTCGCAGGGGAGGTGCATCCGGGAGGGTCGCAGTAGAGGCCGGATCGAAGAAGGGGGGGATCATTACTATTATTAGCAGAGGCTGCTGTTTTCACGCTTCGACGAGGCCGGAATAGGTAGAGTCTCAAGCTGTCACGCGGCGTAAGACACGATACGACTCTAGTGGGATGACAGGGTTACAGAGTGTGATTCGCGGACATCCCGGTAGATTAGGTAGGCCTATACATAGCGATGGATGGTGTTGCGCCGATTAAGTCGTGTCCACCGCCCGAGTCGGCAACCGCGTCCGTCCGGGGATGGGACGTCATTGACGCGGGGCGGCCCGAAACCTATCCTTTCCATCTCCGCACTTTGCCAACCTACTGCTCCCGTCCACGACATCCAAAGCTGCATTAGCTATCTGTCATTCGGAACCCTCCGGCTGCATCTCTGTCATGCTCTCCCCAGACCGTAAGCCCCGGTCGGCAGCCTCGGCATCCAAGTCCACGGTAACCATGGACCTGCTGCCCGATGAGCTCTGGTTGCACATCGCCTCCAACTTTGACCAAGATCCCCCCTCCAAAGCCAACTTTTTCGAGGAACCGTCGCTCGCCTTGACCAACTCTGAATGCTGCGACCTGAAATCCCTGTCGCGCGTCTGTCGCCGCTGGAGACGGATCGTGCTACCTCTTCTCTTCCGCCACACACGGGTTCCTTTGTTCTCTAGTTCATGCATGTGGACCGATGAGCGCGAGACGATAGACTACCCGCGCTTCTCGGTGCAATCGCGCCCCTTCGTGCGTTTCCTGGAAGCGAACGATCTCGCCCGACATGTCAAGAGCATCGTTGTCTACACTCAGTGGCACAGCGATATCAGCGCATTTGGTTACGAGCACACACCACTTTACATGGAAGCAGCTGCGTTCTGGGACTCTACGATGGGCGCCATTAACCCCCTCTCGCTGATGATCGTGGCACCGCCAACCACTCTCTCGCTTCTGCTTGGCATCGACTTTCCAGTTGTACGAGACAAATGGGCCTTCGACATGCCATACCACACCTTCGAGTTTCGGCAAGATCCCAACTCCACAATTCCAAGCGCCCCGACGGACTTCAGCTGGCCGTTGCAGCTAATAGATTGGCGCAAGTGGACCCATATGGGTTACAATGAGGGCTCCTACCTTTCGGTGTATAGCACGTACGAGTACTATGCCAAGGTGCCACCCAGTCTGCTTAGGTTAATGATCTGGATGTTCCGGGAAAAGACTTTCCGTAAGACTTGCAGTCTGCGGTCCATCACATACGTTGCCATCTTCCCAACCGGCGATTACATGGTAGGGCTCGCTGATGTGATGACCAATATCCGTGGTCTTCGGCACTTGAACCTGCAGCTGGCTCCAGAACCGAAAAGCACAATCATGGATGACCCTAAGCGGATGAAAAGGGCCCAACCAGGCGACCTTTGGCTGGAGCTCAATCGCTCCTATACGACCCTAAACAACTTGCAGTGGACCGCAAATGCGTCGCTGTCAAGCCGCGACTACCGCTGGCCAGCTCTCGTTGATATCCTCGACGACGACCATCATCTGGGCGGACTGAGCCGGAGAGGCTGGACCAAGGTTGGGAATGCCACTTGGTCGAGAGATGAAGTGAGCCAAGCGACTACGTCGGAGTGATTGGCTGGAGCGAGGACTCGATGTCCTGGTTGTGTTTTCGATGATCACACGTTTGCAGATCCATTTGCTCCTGGCGCATTTGCTTTGTCCACTTTTTGCAAGCATGGCGCAAAGAAGACATCGCCAGCAATGGCTCTTCGGATTGTAACAATGGCAACAAGGAACCAAAGGATGATGACCGCAACTCCAGTGACCTTGGATTGCGTTAGCATGTTAAGTCCCTTACGTTAATCGGCGATATACTTACAGTGCCAAGTACTTGGAAAAAGGCGGATGGAAGCTCCTCTCCCATCTGAAGGGTAGAGAGTACAAACACGCCCGTAGGGAAGGTGAAACCCCACCAGCCCATGTTGAACGGGAACTTGGACCGACTAATCGACGCCACGGCGAAGAAAGCCCAGACGATACCGAATCCCCACAGTACGATCGCCGTGAAGAAAGCACTGACGTAGAGGATCTCGCCAGCCATTGGATGGAGAGTACCGGTCTGTCCACTGTTAGCACCATAATAGGAGCAGACGTGGCCAGTCAACCTACCTTGGGAAACACCTCCAGGGCCATTTTGCCGAGGTTCATGATGGAGAAGCCGCCCTGCCCGAGAGGACCCAGGGGAAGGAACACGCTCACGATGACCTCCCTCGGCGGCAACTTGTGCATGGCCAGACGGTGGAAGTATATCACGAGCGTAAGCAAGGCCATGGGAAGGCCAATGCCCCAAAGCACGTAGCTGACTATGATAGTCCATAGTGCGTGCTGCGGGTTTGACAAGATAGAAGCTACGGTAGCACCATTGGCCGACGTGACGATTGGTGTAGCAGCGGGGAGGAGCCACGCGGCCGTCATAGTGGAGAGGCTCGTCGGATGCACGTAAGTCCTTTTGTTCTGTCAACGAAAAGCTCCTCGGAAGGTATCTAGGGGTGTTGGATGCATACATCAAGAAAGGCAAGCCACAAGCACAAGCTATGGCCATCACGACGTCGATCCACCAGAGGACCCAGGCCAGTTTGTTCGCCCAGGGCCCCCAGCCCGCCTCCTGGATGCAGACGAAGATGAACATGTTGATGATGGTGGTCAGGCCCATGGGGATGCAGCCGAGGAAGAGCGATTGCACCGGGTGCCGCAGCATCAGACCCCAAGTTGCTGGGTACATCACGTAGCGCAAGAGCGAGGTAAAGGAGATAATGGCGAAGAGGATGACGTTGATTACGAAGAGCACGGTGTAGATGACGGTAATGACGCGGTGCTTATAGGGGATGGCGTGAAGAACGAGACACACCATGCCGGTGGCCATATTCACGGCGAACTGCGGATGGATGTGAGTTGCGGTTCAAGAACAAGCTTGGTGGGTGAAGAGATGGAGGTGATTGGGAGACACTTTGCCGAAAGGGAGTGAACGAGTATACATATCGGAAGGGAAGAATCTGCCAAAGGAAAGGAAACCGGGGAAAACTCACCCACGACGGCGTAAAGTTCTGGACAATCCTCCTCCAACCTCTCTCCTCCAGCTCCAGCGTCATCCACTTCGGCTGCGGAGTTAGCGACGACCTGGACGAGTTTGCACTGGGCTTCTCATTCGTCTGGCTGGTGATGCCGACAGCAGCGAGCTGCTGCTGCGTCGAAGCATGCGAGCAAGGCTGCTGGGAGGCAATGGCGTCTTTACGGTCGCTGTCCTGGGCGTTCATCCACGGCGGACGGTTGCCATACTGGACGGAGGCATTGGTGGAAACGTTGCCGTGGCGGTTCACGGGGTGCATCCACGGCATACACGGCGCGGGCACCGGCATCTTGTCCACACGCCTTTTAGCGCGAGTCTGGAGTCCTAGCCTGCGGTGCGTGGGGGGATGTGCCTAGCAGCGGACGGGAGGGCGGAAAGGTCCGTTGCGGATAATGGGAGGAGTAGTCCGTGGCTGTGATCGACGGCGGCAGGCTCGCGGGATTGGGGGGAGAGTCAGAGGCAGGAAGAGGAGACTGTTCTCGACAACACCAGCAAACAACAGCAGCGACGGCAGCAGTAGTGGCACCTCGGACGTGGCGCGAGCGCAAATTGGGGCGAGTAGGGTACGTAGTAGGTAGGTGGGCGCGAACGATGGTTGGCTGGCTGGACTGGGCTGGGCTGGAACGACTCGAGCAAAAAAAACATACGAGTGGAAACTAAAGAAGGACACGGCCGCGGTAAGAGGAAAAGAGAAGAAAAATTTGCCCCCCGGCGTCGTTCGTGAGTCGTGACTGTGCTTTCCTTTCTGGAACATCCTGCCCCATCGCGCGCTGACGCTGACGCCAAAAAAAATTAAGCCCAGCAAGCCTGTTCCTTCGAGTCCTAGGTAGGTGCCCGCCCCGATGCAAATCCGCGACAATGCCGATCCCGCCGCGAGGAATGGTGCACCACCGCTACCAGAATCACTAAGGTACTACTGCTAGCTCACTCACCTGAGTCCTCTACCTGGGCAGCCACTAGGCCCTCTACTCTACTCAACTCCCAAAACCAGCACCACAACCACCACCACCAGCCCACCCCGCCCCGCGAAGAAGAAGAAAGGGAAGCCCGGGCAGTTTCCGCCCGCGTGCCAAGCACCGCGCCTGCCGTCTTCCGACTCTGCCCGCGCGCCGCGCGCGCCAAGCGGCGCGGCGGCGGGCCGCTGCCGATCTTGCTGTTGCTGTTGCTCTTGCCTATGCCTTGTTGCAGGCAGCAGGCTCGGGCTAAGGATGCCGTTTGCTACGGCAGCGCAAGGCCAGGTTTCGGCGCGGTGCGGCAGATGCGCGGCTTGCGGCGGATTTTCCAGCCTGGCGCGGAGCTAGGGGCGGGTTGGTGGGCGTGCGTGTTTGTGCGTGTGTGCGCGTCATGGTTGAGGGAGCTGGGGTTGGGAAAGAGGGATGGGATCATGGGATGGGAGCTCTGGGCGGGGAGTGGTGGGTTGGGTTGGGTTGGGTTCGCTGCCACGGACATGGGCTGGGCTCGTGGTTGTGAGACTGAGGTTGCTGGCGCTCGGCGCTGGCTGTGGCTGATGGGTGGTGGGTTGGGGCTCTGTCGCTCGCTCTGCTCTGCTGAGGTCGGGTTAGGCTTGCCGCTGCTTGGTGCCCGCCCGTGCTTGATTGGTTGCGCGGTCGGCGTGCGCGCGTGCGACCCGGAGATGAGGGCGTGCTTGCGGAGCAATGTCCGGTTGTTGAATGTGGTGAGGGCTTTGGCTGGATCAGCGGGATAGTGAGATAAGGGAAAGCTTGGAGGGCTTTTGGAGATGTGGCCGGTGCTCTTTAGAGTAGTAGCTGATGTTTAGTTGTGCATTGGCGATGATGATATGCCATTGGCGCGCCCAGGTGTCTATCCATGAGGAATTGTATAATCCTTCTGCCTTTCCAGCTAGTCCTCTGTCCGGAGTATGTATCAAATGCCAATTCTATCCGGCGCATCTCCGAGAATAATCACCGTTCGAGATGTAGTCGCGATCCGTAAGCTTTGGTGAAATCACAGTACTCATCACTTCATGGCGCGCAAATACAGGCAAAAAGCCGCGTCAGAACTTTTCAGGATTGGTATCTAAGCGAATCTGTCCAGAGCCCATTTTGCGAAAAAATTTACTCCTCGTCCTCGTCGGCCTCGTCGTTGACGACGTTGAAGAAGCGGAGCTCGTAGACACCCTTGGAGGTGGAGACGACGCGGAGCCAGTCACGGAGCTGCTGCTTCTTGAGGAACTTCTTGGTCCTGCGCGCATCATGTCAGTCCTCGCCCACACGCGCGGCGCTGGCTGGCGGCAACTTACAGGTACTTGAGGTAGCGGCCAGAGAACTCCTGGTGGGCGATGACCTCGATCTTGCCGTCACCCTGCTGGGAGATCTGGATGGTGTCGCCGAGGTTGTTGGTGCGGCCCTCAACCTTGATGCGGTCGTGAAGGAACTTCTCGAAGGCGGTGATGTCGAAGATCTTGTCGTTGACGGGCTGGGAAGCGTTGATGATGAACTGCAGTCGCTGTTAGCCCGCTTGCGCGCTTCTTTCGCGTGAGAGTGCGCGCCGTACCTTCTTGGTGATCTTCTGCTTCCTGGCACCACCCTTGGGGCCGCCGACACGCTGCTATAATTGCACACTTAGCCTACTGCTCTGTTGCCGAGTGCTCATTCAAGAGTTCGGCGGACAGCAAAGCCGTGTACGTACAGGACCCTGAACCATTTTGACTGATTTTTTTTTGGAGGAGGAATGTGGAAAGTGCAAAGAGGTGGATATCCTGCACTTGGCGTTCGAGAAAAGTTGTCGACCGTGGGGAGGGACTTTGCGCGGTCGGAGGAGGCCAAGGTCATTTTCCGCGCCTTTCGGCCGCCTGTGACCGCCTTCGCCTGCCGCACCAATCACGTCCGGCAGAATCACCATAACACTCATTTCTACTCCTAGGTATATACAACAACATCATTTTCTCCCATCACTCCAAAATGGGCACTCCAAACACTTTGCTCAGCGTCTCTACGACCCTGGCGTTGAACTGCCTCCCGCCCTCCAGGACGCCGTCTAGATGAATCACAGTATGAGGCACCCCCGGAATGCGCCAAATCTCGGCCTTTGACCCAGCTTTATTCATCTTTCTCCCATACGCCTCACCTTCATCCCTAAGCGGATCCATCTCCGCGGTAATCACGAGGGCGGGCGCCAAATTAGAAAGGTCAGGATGTTTAATCGGTGAGATATGCCAGTCCTTAACAAGACAGTCAGCTCGCGCTCTGAAGCTGCAGGCGCCTCTCCCATCGCCAGCACACATGTGGACAAACACTCACATTATCCAATTGCTTCGGCCGCGGATTACCGAGCCAGTGCTTGTGGAAGAAGCTCATGCGTTCGCCCGGCAGAGCCGCAGTGTTCCACATCTCCCTGTAGCTCTCGTACGGACAGTTTGGATCCAGCTCGCCCGTAGGCGTGAAGACGTGCATATCGCAGACGGGCACGACCAGGAGCTGGAAAGCCAGCGGAATGCCCTCGTCCCGGCACATGATAGCCACGACCTCGGAGAGATGTCCGCCGGCAGACGCGCCTCCCACGGCAAGGCGCAGCACGTCGAGATCGAACTCCGCGGCCTTCTGCGTGCGCATCCACTGGAAAGCAGCCCAGCAGTCCTCGATCTGGGTGGGGTATCTGTGCTCAGGCGCGAGCCGGTAGTCGACGTCAAAGACGACGATGCCGAGCTTATGCGTAAGCCGCTTGCAGAACTCGTGGTCGAAGTGCAAGCCGCCGAGCACCCAACCACCGCCATGGAAGTTCATGTACGCGGGTCTGTTCCCCGGACGCTTCTCGGTGGGCTCGAAGATGCGGACGGTGATTTCGCCATCCTTGACCGGGCATTTCTGCTCCGTGATGCGCACGCGCGTCGTCGCGAAGAACTCGCGCCCGTATGTGATGGTGTACTTGGCCGGGTCTGCTCTGTACCACTCGATGGGGATCTGATGCGTATGCAGCCGCCCGCGCTGGTACCTGTTGTGCAACTCGACGAAGACCGGGTCGAAGCGCGGCACGAGGTTCTCTGGGATCTCGTTGAGTACGGGCTGTGAGATTGTCTTGGGCGGGGGGTACGTCTCGCTGGTCGTCATGATGGGCTGCGGTGCGATTGATGGTTAAGTGCGGTAGGTGGTGGGACAATGCTTGGGTATCTACATAGCTATATTCATGAGTCCAATGGGCCTGTCTCTACATGTGAAGTCGTTTATCATAGCACGTCAGAGGTGGGGGAGGGGCGTGAGGGGCTCCGTGGCTCCATATCCGCTGATCTTCGCCTTGTTGTGAATACCCAAGCGGCAAGCACTGCGGGTGTCGTGCATATTTCCCGAAATATAATCCGCAGACCCGGCGCGGCCTGGCGGCCCGGTTTATATCTACCGAATTAAACAATGATCAGGACTATCAATTAGGAAAGCCTGTGTGGTAGTTATCTGTTTGTTTCTGACCTAGTAGATAATGGTCTAGTGGCACTGTTTGTGTGTTTGAGTTGTGAAAGATAAATGCAATTGACCAAAATATTGCAAGAACAACTAATGGACAATGCCATCGTGTTGCGGTGATAATTTGGGTCGTGTCTAAGGTTGAATTGTCAATTCCGTAAATGGTATTAATGTTTATTCAAGTTCCAGTCAAAGGCTTCCAGATAGCGTCACGATGCTGTAGATACTAATGGCATCATACACTCTAATACTTTTGAGCTCCAGGTAAGCTCTCCGAGCAATGCTACACGAGTATATCACTCGCTGCAGCCTCAATCGAGGTCGCTCTTCGGCTCGGGGGCAGAATACCCTCTCTGCAGCAAAAACGCCGCAAGGCGGTGTTCGACCTTTGCAAACTACCACGCAGACATGTCAGCTCAGCACACAGCAAGTCAATCTGCGTTTGAGATGAAACTTACGAAGCTGAGTTTCTCCTTCCCAATGACGCCCTCCGTGATCCAGAAACCGCGCGAGCCCATCAGATTGGCCATCATGACATCAGTGAACAGACGGTCCCCTACCACGGCAATTTGTGAGGGCGATGTTACGCCGGCATCCTTGGCGTTGCGGAAGTAGTCCAGGACTTCGGCGCGGCAGCCTGGTTTCTATTTTCGGGTCTTAGCACGGCTTTTTGGGCCATAGAGAAGGCTCTAGGTCCGAGTTAGAGGGAGCTAAAGTACCTTGACGTTGTGGTGGAGCACTTTGACTCCGGTGTTGCGTTCTAGCAGGTCGGCTTCGGCGTACTTGATGTCTGAGGCTGTCCCTGCTGTATTTGATACTATAAGCAGCTTGGAGCCGGGGTAGGCTTTGCGCAGTTCTGCGAATTTGTCCTGTGGCGAGCCATCAGCTGTGGAAGGGAGCTCGGGCAAGAGATGGGATTGGGCTTGGTGCTTTTGCGGTAAGTTGTTGGGGCTTTTGGCAGACGATGGCTGTAGAAATGGAATATTTTTTTGACTGGTAGCAATTTGATCATGATGGATGAAGGCAAAACAGCGCTCGCTCAAAAACATTTATTACTTTGTACTCGGAATAGACCTCATTGGCGTGGGGTACGGCGAAACAGTTGTCCTTGTCCAGCACCACGGCTCTTATATCGCCGCCTTTCTCAGCAAAAGCCTTGGACAACGGGACGGGGAGCTGGTTGAAGGTGGCGCATGAGTGATGCGGCAGACAGAGAGCCGGGTCCCTGAGGAGTTTGAAGACGTTGAGAGTCCCCGAGAGGTTCATTGTGGGGAGGGCGGAGAGAAACCTAGAGAGAGACGGGCAGGTGATGGGCGCTCATCATCATCGGCCGCACAGCTTGCCCGCGGCGCTAGCGCGGATTTGTTCGTGAGCTTCTTCCTGCAACAACCGCATCACCCGCGCCATCTCCCCCCGCTGCACGACTCCACGCGCCTCTCCCGCTCTTCTGCTCCTGTCGGTCCCGATCGCGCGATAGGACTCTGCCAAGATGACCAGCACAATCGGCATCCCGATCAAGCTCCTCAACGAGGCCGCCGTACGTCCCACGCCTCACCACTGCACATGCGCCAGAGGACCCTAGCTGACCCAACCGCTGCGCAGGGCCATGTTGTCACGCTCGAGATCACCTCCGGCCAGGTCTACCGTGGCAAGCTCCTTGAAGGTGCGCGCCCGCCCTCGCTCGTCGTGTCCAGAACATGGGCCCATAGCTAACGTCTCGCAGCCGAGGACAACATGAACGTCCAGCTCAAGGACATCACCGTCACTGCTCGCGACGGTCGCGTTTCCCACTTGGACCAGGTCTACATTCGCGGCTCCCACGTCCGCTTCTTCATCGTTCCCGACATGCTGAGGTACGGCTACCCGTGCCCTCGACGAGATGCGCCGATTGCGACGCAATTGCTGACACGAGTGACAGGAACGCGCCCATGTTCCGGTCGAGAGGTATCCGTGGCCGCGGTGTCGGTCTGGCCAGAGGTAGGGCCACGGTCAACAGGGCCCGCGGCACGAGGGGCGGCAGGTGAAAGGATTGAAAACGAAGCACGATACCAATATCAAAAGAACAGCCAAACCATAAGCATGAATGTTAGACCCTTGGTCCTTTGGGGAAGAGCGACATGGGCAGCGGGACTGAGCTTTGAGGCAATAAGTAATGCTTTGAGGGGCATTGGGGGACAAGTGGGCGTTTAGGCGACTTCACGGCCTGCAAAAGCAACTATTAGACACACGCTGCCAGCACACGATCTGAAGCTGGAACGAAGTTAAAAGAGAAAGAAAATGTGACCCCCGAGCCGGGACTTCTGTAAAGCTTGGTAGCATCACGTGCAAGCGTTCCGGCGTTCTCGCGTCTTGAGCTCCCCCCATCGCGCCGCAAGCTCTCTTGACTCTCCGCATCCTCACCATGTGAAAGCTACACACACGCTCCCACCTACCCACAACCACCATGGAAATCACAAACCCGCGCCGCATCCTCTGCATCGGCGCCCCCGACTCGGGCGTCCTCACCCTGCTCAAAGGTCCGCCCCGCCGCTGCCACCCCGCATCGCACCGCACTCCCCGCGTCCGCCCACCATCACCACCACTACCACCACTAACACGACAACAGAGCTGACGGGCTCGGCACCAACGCCCAACAACGACAGCACAGCCGGGCTCTCGCACACCTGGTCCCTCAAAACAGCCTACTACAGCGCGACGCTCCCAATCTGGATCGACGAGATGCAGTCGCCGACCGAATGGGGCTTGCAATTCGCGTCCGAAGAGGCGCACGAAGTGGTGCGGGCGCTGGGAGCCTGGGTATTCTGTTTCCGGAAGCCAGCACGCGCGGCCGAGCTCGCGGCCATCAAAGCGAGCCTGGCGGCGATCGAGGGCGCCATCGCGGCCGCGTACGGCTCCAGCAGCGCCTGGGACGGCGTGTGCGTCGCCGTTGCGACGGCGCAGGGCATGAGCGCGAGCGCGGACGCGGTGCTTGCGCCTGAGGAGTGGGAGGACGTGTGCCGGGAGCGGGGGTTCGAGTTTGTGGATGCGGAGGCGCGGGGGAAGAATGAGTTTGGGGAGGTGGTGGGGCTGGCGAGGGTCAGGGAGGCGTTGGAGGCGAATGATTGGGAGGGTGAGACGGAGCTGGATGCTGAGTTTGAGGGCTTGGATGATTTTGGCGATGATGAGGGTGAGGGCGATTGGTTGGGCAGTTTTGCGGCCGAGGAGGCTGAGATGAATATGGAGCTTATGGGCATGAAGACGGCGGTTAATGGTGGGGAGGAGGCGCAGAGTGCGGATGAGGACGATGGCGGCGCGGACGATGTCGAGGAATTGCAGCGTATGATGGGCAAGATGCTTGCGATTAAAGGTACGTGTTCCGCTGGGCGTGCTCCTGTTGCGAGTCCAAACATTGGTGTAGTCGGTCACTGACAAACTGCACAGAACAAGCTGCTGGCTTGCCAGAGGAGCAGCGAAAGAAGTTTGCTGCCAAAGCTGTCAACGACCTAATGAAATCCAACTGACCACCATTTCGTCCATAGTCGATAATCGTTAATATTCTTCGATACCACCAAAACATGGAGAACATGTCAACCCAAGACCTGGTGTATATCAGGTGAAGCAGTACACGCGAGTTAAAAGATCATGAAAGCACCGCAAGCGCTGGTTCCTGAATAGTCGAAACATCCTCGCATACACAGAGCATGTATAAGGTCTGAGAGGAGATGTTGTTATTCATATCCCCACGGTAAGCGGTGCTCCATAAAAGCAAAAGCATGTCAAGTCGCTTCGAATTTAAATATCATCTCTCATATAGAAACAATGTAGGTATACGTGCAATACTCTTAAATCACTCCCTATCGATCACCCTGCAGGCAGGCAGCTGCAGAGGCCGCGCTCGTGATTACAGTATCACTCATGAGGGGTAGCAGTACCTTCAAAATGCTCCGTACAGATTACTCCATAGGTAGATGTAGAGGCAGCACGCATGGTTAGATGTACTGCTCATGAGAGGCATGTAAACTATAACAGCACCTGCCCCTCGGACCATTCTTATACCCAAGCCAAACATAGGTAGAGAGCAAACGACGCTCCCGTCCAACGAATGGCACGCACAACACCCCTTCAAATCACATGATGCACGTAGTACAAATCACGCAAAGAGCTCTCATTTGGTCTTTCCCCCCCAATCGGCTAGCAAGCAATGGGGGATCGTCAGGGACAGACAAATATACTTTCTGCACTACAGCAGGACCCGCGCGCTCAAGACCTCCCCATTGCGTTCTATATAACCCGTGCAGCCGCCGCCAGCCGTAGTCAGTTTTACAGCGGCCCAGAGTCCAGTCCGCCCCCTCCATACGTATCCCGCAAAAGTCCAGATAAGAAAAACCGTCCGACGCCACCAGCCGCGAGCCGAGCAGCGCAGCCAAGCCTTCAGCCAAGCACACGGGACCACGACGGCGCAGCCAAGAAAGCGACAGAATTAACCTATAAGACGCGAGTAGGTCTCTCTCTCTCTCTCTCTCGGTCTCTCTCTTGCCTCTCTCCGTTCCCAAGAATACAAAGAAAAGAGGCAAACCAAAAATTAATCCGCCTTTTCCAAAATGTAGAAAAACCCACTCCGCAAAAACCCGGTTATCCTCGTTGCTGCTGTAGTTTCTTATTTGTCACGCCATTAACACCGTCCCATGCCGTTTGGTCTTTCTTTTGCGAAACACCGGAAACACCATACAGAAGAAAAAAGAAGAAGAAGAGGAAGAAGAGGGAGAAAAGAAGGATAAGAAGAGAAGAATGAGAAAAAAAAAAGACAATGCACGACGACACGCTTGTACGCAGCACGCGAGATTGGAAGCGAGGCCGCCAAAGCAAAGACGCAACCCAGGCTGCCGCTCTGCCATTCGGCGGCATTATTTTCAACAACGCCATCAAGACCATTACCGAAGAGGCGCCGCTCCGGGCGGAAGCGATGAATGCGTTGGACGATGTCATACGAGACAGCGCATCAGCGTTGCCATCAAAAAGATGAGATCGTGCGGCTCCGCCGCGCTACTACTCGTGCTCTCGGTGTTCAGTGAGGCTTTCCTGGGCCCCGAGCTTTTGGGCCACGGCGGCCGCGAGCCCTCGCGTGCCATTGGAACCGGACGACGCTTTCTTGGGCGTCGAGCACACGTCTTCGGCGCTGCTGTTGCGGGTGCTGGCCGGGCGGGAGCACGACTGCGCCACCAACTGCGTGCGCGATTGCGACTCTGAGCGCGCGGCGAACGTCGTGCCGGAGAGACTGCTTGCGCGTGTGTGGCCTTCGGAGCGTGGGACGCTGCGTTGCGGGCTTGGAGGGCGCGAGTTCATTGGGCTCATGACGTAGTTGAAGGTGGATGCCGGTCTCGAATGGCCTTCGCGAGGTATGTTGTACGCCCCGTTTTCGCGCTCGTCGCCGCTGTTGTCGCTGCTCTTGTTGCTTTCTGCGCTCTTTCGGCCCCGGCGCGAGCGCCAGTTCGGGTCGTCGCCCTTCAGCATCTTCCTGAACTTCTCGGTCCGGTCGTCGATACACCACCGCTCGTACGGGCCCGGCATGAACTCGCCCTTGTGGTCCCAGCAATTCACCCAGGCAACGCCGTCGTCCAGCTGGAAGAAGCCTACCTCTCTCGTCTTTCCATGCTGGTCCTTGATCTCCCCGGCAAGCTTGCGCCGCTCATACTCGGTGTGGAAGAGGTAGCGGCGAAGCACTCTTGAGTACGTGACGAGTTTGGGCTTTTCCAGGCGCTCGCCCGGCGTACCGTCTGCGTTGTCCGGGCGCGTCAAGTACCATCCGCGGCCCGGGATGTACTCGTACGTGCCCGGCTTGGGGTCTTGCCAATGCTCGGTTTTGCGCAGCGACCTCTTAGGTTCCGAGTGTTTGCGCGTGAACCATCTATGTGGCGTGAACAGGGTCTGAGTGGCGACTAGCAGGTTCGGGGCCATGTAAGGTGGGGGATGGTGGGGTGGTAGCTGGTGCTGCGAAGAGAGGGAAAGAGAGGGAATAGACTGAGGATTGATGATGGAGGGTGGAAGGAAGGTAGTCGGCGGATGTGGGATCTTAAGAAGCTTGGATGATGGGAGAGTGGGTCGGACTCGTGGCCGGCGGCGGGTAGGGCGTGACTTTGTAGGGAGCGCGGAAAGAAAGCAGATTGGCACAGGTATATAGGGAGCGGCGGTGTTGTGGGTAGAGGAGCCGTGGTGCGCGGTGGTGGCTTACACTTTTGACTAAAGCTTACGGGTCAAATTTTCGACGTGTTTCGCACAGAAACGGGCCTCCTATTATCTAAAATGTCAGCAGACGAGACGTGAAGCCAAGAACTCCATCGCGCTCGCCGATCATGCTTGTGTGCGCAACAATGCGAGCAGCTCCCCCAGCATCGGCCGCCATCCGTCGCCGTCGAAGGCCACGTCGTCCAATGGCTGCGTCATGCCAGGCACCGTGCCATTGTTGCGGCGACAAAGAGAGACCTGCGGCGCGGGCAGAAGCGAGGTGGCCGCAGCTCCCAGGGCTCGCGTCACCGTCGCACGCAGCCCTTCACCGTCGGGGCCATTTCAGGGCATGAAGGATAAGGTAGTGTAGGTTGAAGTTGGTCTAGAGTCAAGGACAAGGTAAGTTTGTGCTGCTCACCGGCAGACCGGCCTTGCCAAGCCATGCACGGCGAGCCGCTTGGTCACCCTTCACATGCCGCCGATGATGATGCTGAGGCCCTCAGCTGTGCCCCTGCGATGTGACAGCTCAGCCGGGGAACGGGCAGACCGATTGCACTCTGACTATATTGCGCCCCGAGATTACACGCTGGACATATCATGCTCCTCCATGCGACCTGTCTGTGTAACGTCGCCGGCAATCACTCGAGCCCTTGCAGCTGGCCAGCCAATTGAACTGATGCTGAATTTTTTGTCATAAGGTGTGCATCGACATTGCTTGTCCGTCAAAGCAAGCTACAAACACCCAGACCTTGTGATATCCGCGCCCCGCTAAAAGTGAACCCTCTACGACTCCGTCGTAACCTTGGCCTTGGCGTTGGTGACCTTGACACCCAGCTGCTTCGCCCTGGCGACGATCTCAACCCTCTTGCGCGCGGAGACGGCGTGGGCGATCCTATTCATCGAATTAGCCGGATCGTCCTTTTCTCCTTCAGATCGGGGATATTTACTCGGCGGCGTAGGTGCGGTTGTGCATGAGGAGAATGTCAACATCGCGGATGTTGTTGACGAGGAAAGCCTTGTGGCCGGAGGGCATCATGTGGCGGGTCTTCTTGTTGGAGCCGTAGCCGATCTGCATCGCGGAGTCCCGTCAGCGTCGCCGTCCCGTCTGGTCTATCCCATTCCTTCTGCCTCGACTTCGTTCGTCTTCCGCAACCGATCCGTCGTGCCAAAGAATCCTCCGGGATGGTGCCGTGAGCGTACCTTGGGCATAACAGCCTGGCCCTTGAACCGCCTCCTCACGGCATTGTCGATACCCTTGGGCTTCCTCCAGCTGGGGTCGACGCACTTGAAGCGGTCGCTCTGGTGGCGCTTGAAGTGCGCAGTGCCTGCATCGGGACTTCCGTCAGCAACAGTCCAGGGGCAATGTCCATCCGGTTTGAATTCGTGTGCGGCTGGCTACAGTGTGTAGAGCGGGGCGCCGTGTGTCGCAAACTCGTAGAATGGAGCGGGAGCAGTGGACGGGTTCGACGTACGCTTCTTCACGATCGGGACGTGCTTCTTAGCAGCAACCATCTGCGCAATTCAATCAGCATGCTGATAGTTTAGTGAGATCGGTTTCCTAGGGTATACGCACTTTGTCGGCCTGGAGGTTGTCGTCTTGTTAGTACGTCGTCGTCGAGGGTTGGCCGCGTCGAAAAGATGTTCAGGAAACTGTAATGGGTTGTGGGCGCTAGTCCCGAATCACGCGTAAGCGATTGGTGGTCAGTGCGTCCTCGACACAAGACATCGCGGAGCCTCATCGCAGCAGTCTCTGGGGATCTTGATGGGGGAGGCTCTTCAGATTTTGGAATTATTAATTTCTCATGCTTGTCATTATCTCGTTTCATGGTACTAGACCGGCACGCCAGCTCACTGTGGAAGCTCCTATCCGGCCCGCTCACATGTCTATGTATCACGCTTGCACGTTCGTAAATCCTATGCTGTGAAGAATCCAAAGTGTTCGCTGACAAGGAGTTAACGGCCTTCACCGTCCGGCGAGATAATGCTCACTGGAAGTAGATATAAAAACCAACTAAGATATTTATAATATATGTGCGTCGTAAGACCTCGCAATCACATCCAGGACCCAGGTTTGTAGCTAGGCAATGAGTATTCCATGGACTGCTGTATCCTTACTTGCCTTCCTGAACGGTGAATCACTCCTGTAGGTGAAGGGCGTTACCAACAAAATTTGAATGCTTTCGACCTGACCGACATGATTTACTTGTAGAGCGTCGTGGAACATGATCACTATTAAACTATTTCTACCTTTGGACATGATGTCCAACCCCGTTCTATTCCGACTCTTGCATTCCAATGACCAACCGTGACGCTAACGTAGTCCTGCAACGTTCGCTTTGATGTATGGACACATTGACCTGAGGAAGATAAGATATACATCCTTCCATACTCTAGGGCAACCCAGAGCCAGCCCAACGGAACCCTGAACGCCTCATTATGCGAAACCACCGCCCGTGAAGATCCGTCCTTTCATGGATCATTTATTTCGTAACTTCCTTGAGCTTGCATTGCCAGCCAGACTCTTGGCTTAGCAAAGGCAGACTGTACGTTGTTCATTAGCAATCTTCGCTCGACTTAAACCGAGTAAAACAAGGTAACTTACCTAGCACCCAGGCACCAGCCCAGTTCATTGTTATTAATCTTCTTGGCAATCCTGACCTCGCGGTCAATTGGCATCTCGTAGCCGGTATGGAGAAGCGCAAGCATGAAGTTGAGGTCCAAGCACGTCTCCGGGCGACCATTGAGCTCATCCATAGCACCCTCGATGGAGTGGAACACGTCCCAGCTCTCCTTGCCATGGCATACACGGTTAACAAGGTCCTTGAGCTCGTCCAGCGTAAAGCTGCTGGGCAAGCCCAGTGGGGCCGTGCGGTCGTAGAAGTAAGAGAACAGGTAGATGTCCTCGCGGGAAAACGTCTTGGCGAGAGAGGGCTGGTGCACACCGTTGAAAGCGCAAGGCGCGAGCTTGCACTCGGCCTCCTTCTTCAGGGACTTCTCGGCGATGGCGCGGCACTGGGCCGGGCTACCTTCAGTGGGACCAACCATGTTGACCTTAACGGATGCGCCAAGCGGGTGCTGCTCACCAAGCTGCACCTCAACCTCGCGGCTCATTCCTGGAATAATGCAAGGGTTCAAGACGGACTTCTTCAACCAGGTAGTATCCGAGGGGTCCTTTGACTTCTTGACTTCGTCATAGGCGGCATCGAAGACCAGCTTGTGCAGGTTCTCTCTCGCAGCCATCAGTCCGTACCCCAGGTAAGAGTGCTGATACAACGTGAAATTCCGGCCACCAAATGCAAGCTCGTACTTGTGGTCACCGTCTGCCAGCGTCTGGGGCATACCACCGTCCTTGGCCTCAGCGAAGGTCGGTTCGAAGACAATCTGGGTAGATCCACCGCCCAAGTCAAAGACGGCGGCCGTAGGCGACTTGTCGGGACCACCGATCTTGCCGAGCAGATAGTTGGTCGTAACCCAAGCGTAGACACCCTCGTATGTACCGTCCATGACTTCGACACCGCCCCTCTCGGCTGCGACAACCGGGAAAGGATACTGGGTCTCAAGTCGGGTACGCACAGCCTCCAGGATCTTGTTGCTCAATTCGGGACCAAGCTTGCGGAGACCAGCAGTCGCCTTGACGGCAATGGGCGTGCATCCCTGCAGTTTCTCCGGAACGTTCTTCAACGCAACCTCCATCAAGGGATCCAGACTTTTGGCAGCACCCTCAGCATCAGCCTTGTAGGAGCTCAAGCCGGAACCGCCCTCCTTCTTTGCGGTCTGTTCGAAGTTCTCATGCTCTAATTCGGGCGTGGGGCCACAGTTGTTGAAGCGGTAAACGTGGATGCGGGAACCGGTGCTACCAGCATCGATCATAAGAGCATACTGGATAAGAGGCTTGTCGGCGGAGTACGACCTGGTGCACTTATCGGTGGCGACGCTGGGATCCGAGGCTACATCGCCGCCAGGAAACTTGCCCGAGGCTGATTGGATGTCAGTAAAATGGCCAGGTGGTATCAATTGAGGCTACGCACCAGTAGGTCCGCTGTGGCCTGGAGCCAAGAAGAAGAAAACAATGATTATAAAGGCAATGATACCCCCGGCCTTGAGGTACCGGGTCCGCTGGCCCTGGTTCATATTCCCACCTCCAACTTTATAGTCGTTCATTAAGCTGGTAGCGGTGGTGGACGACGTCGAGGGACGGTCGCTGTGGCGGTCGGATTTTTCGAAGGGATCGAAGGTGCTGTTGCTCTTCAGAGGCAGTGAAAGAGAGGTGCGTCGGCGAGGCGTGCTGGAGAAACTGAAGTAAGACCAGATGTCCGGACGTCTTTGGACGTCGACACTACTTGACATGGACAAGCAGCGCGGAAAAAGGTGCGGAGCGGCGCAGAAAAGGGCCGCAGCAAGGGACGAGCGAATGTATCAGCGATGAAAAAGACACTCGCCAACAGAAGGAATAAGAGAAAAGGGAGAGAGAGATTCGATCGAAGGAGCCCGACCGAATGGACAGCGGGAAAGTTGCAAGGCAGGAATGCAATGCGCAGTGGCACCGGGGGCCCCTAAACGGCGTGCGCCACACCGCGGCCGAGGCGCGGTCGAATAAGACCCGACCGGTTTGTATGCAGCACTCCCGCACCGCTCCCGCACGTCTAAATGTAGCCGGAACAACCTTATCGCAGTCGAGTCGGCATACTTCTTGTATAGTCCTCAGTCATGTTTTATCATAACTTGGTTTGATTGCTGTCCGGTCGACAATTTGAATCTACTTGTAGGTCTGCGTAATGTCCATATGCGCGCCATGACTAGCCCGAACGGCGTTAACGCAGAGCCCCCGGATCTCAGTGCGATAAGCAGGTGGCCAGGCAGACACAATGCACGTCACTGCACTGGAAACTTCTGGACGCATTAAGTTCAACATCATGTCTCGACACTGCCCATTCTCACTCTCGCCGCTCGTAACAATCCGCTCCTCTGCCCCTAGTCAACATGGACGTCCAGCTCTACGTCTACGATCTCTCACAGGTATTGTTTGCTCTCCGCCGCGCACTTTGCTTGACCGTCTCCGCTGATACACCTCAAGGGCCTGGCTAGACAGGTATGCTCGCCCCGCGCTCCCGCTCGTTTGCGCACGCATTGACGCGATTCTCTCAGCTCTCGCAAGCCTTCCTCGGTATTCAGATTGACGCCGTCTACCACACGTCCGTTGTCTTCGGAGGTATCGAGTACTTCTTCGGCGCAGGCGTCCAAACGTGCTATCCTGGCACAACCCACCATGGCCGCCCCATGGAAGTAGTTCCGCTCGGCAAGACCAGCTTGGATATGGATGTTATATCCGAATACCTGGATTCGTTGAAGCAAATTTACACTGCCGAGTCCTACGATCTATTTGCTCACAACTGCAACAATTTGTGAGTGCGCCGACCCGCTTTGTTTTCAAATACTTTCCGCAAGGACATATTCGCGGGCGGGAAAGAAAAGTGGATGTTAGAACGCATAAAGAGGAGCAATAACCACTGACCTTCTTCTAGCTCCAACGACTTTGCCATGTTTCTTGTCGGCAAGGGCATTCCGGAGCATATCACTTCCTTGCCACAGACGGTCCTCAATACTCCATTCGGGCAAATGCTGAAGCCACAGATCGACCAGGCCATGCGGACGGTTACCCAGGCCCCCGTGCCTCCCCAGAATGTACCACAGGCGCAGCGGTCGCAGGCTGCGCCGGTTGCAACTAACGGTGTGTCGAACGGTTCCGTTATCTCTGCCCAGGCTGGCAAGGTGCACAATGTTACCGCTCTCAAGCAACTCGATAGCTTGATGACTGCTGCCAAGGACTCCTGCGCCGTGATATTTTTCACCTCTTCCAGATGCGCTCCCTGCAAAATTTGCTACCCGGCATATGATGAACTCGCGGCAGAGGCAGGACCCAAGGCTGTGTTGATCAAGGTCGATACCGACAGCTCGTATGAGGTTGCTTCGAAGTACAACATCCGGTCTACGCCTACCTTTATCACGTTTCTCAAGGGCAAACAAGAAGAGACCTGGTCTGGCGCAGATGTTCCAAAGCTCCTTGGAAATGTGCGAGTTTTGGTGCAAATGGCACACCCAGCGCATCCTCATGCCAATCTCGACTTGCCAAAGTTGCGCGGTGCGAATCTGCGCCCCGTCACCTACACCAAGGTTCCACCTCTTGACAAATTAATAACGAAGATGGGCGATGCTGGCAAGGACCCTTCAATTGCCATGGTGGCAGCCTTTATCACCACACGGCAAGATGATGGCGCGAGGGAAGCTCCGCTTCCATCCCTCCCACACTTCAGCACTTTTCTTCGTAATGCAACCACCAGCATGCCGCCAGACGCGCTTTTTGCCGCATACGATCTGCTCCGTGTGGCAATCGCCGACTCGCGCGTCTCTGGTTACTTCGCTGAAGAACAAGAGCATACCACCATAACCCAACTCATTGACCACGTTAACAAGCTTTCGGATTGCCCTTACAACCTCCGTATCGTAGCATTGCACATGGCCTGCAATCTTTTCACTACTCCGCTTATCCGCACTCACTTGCTCGCCTCTCACTCCTTCTGCTCGCTTTTGACCCAGCTACTCAGCACGTCTCTCCTGGACGATCAGCATGCCAATGTCCGTGTATCGGCCGCCAGCCTCGCCTTCAACATCTCAGCAGCAAATCACCGCTCACGCTGCGAAGATGGCCACGACATTCTTCCCGAAGGAGACCAGGTGGAACTTATGGCAGCCATACTGGAAGCACTAAGTGCCGAGGAAAACAGCAAAGAGGCAATTTTGGGTTTGGTTATGGCGCTGGGCTTGCTGGTCTACGAGGCTCCGGTTGATGGAGAACTGCTCGATCTCTGCAAAGCAATGGATGCTAGCAGCACGGTCTTGGCAAAGGAGAAGCTTTGCAAGGGCGAGTCGATTGTGAAGGAGGTTGGACACGTGCTCTTGAAGAAGGGTGTGGACGCATAAGCCTCGGCATTCTTTTTTTCTGGGACAATAGCGTGGCGCAACTGTCTTTACCAAAGGGTCAGAGCGGTGTTTTTAGGTTCGGTGCGACAGGCGGGCCTCTGTTTTTGATGTATTTGTAGAGTTCTTAGACTTCCTAGCTGGATAGCTTGGGTGTTGTTAGACCGTAGACAGCCCTCAACTCAATAATAGCTGTAAGACTGTTCGCAGCTAGCATCATACGGACGAATTTGTCTTTTAACATTTGGAACGGAAATGAAAGGGACTCGGTCCTCAGCGGACACACGAAGCCATTAACATCATTATCAGGACGGTTTCATGCTTGGTTGCATCAAAGTCTTACACACCCATCCACATGGACAGGTTCATATCCATATGATCGTAAATGGTTGTGCAAAGGCCATCATCCGTAGGAGTAGGCACGAGGCACTTCGAAGTCGACCAAAATTGCACAGCACAACAAATGCAATCACAAAAATAGCAATAGTAAGTAGGCATGTACCCCCACCACACCCCCCATCCGGCTGAGAAATGACCAGCCGGCCGGATATAAGGGTGCAGCGAGGCCCTGGTGACGCGGTTGAAGGGCCGCGAAACCGCCAGGGGTTCTTCAGTCTTGCTTCATTGTCCACACTCGCTCATCCTGGTTCAGTGACGATGGCGGGCTCTAGCATTTGTAGAAGCGGAGGTGCTATATAGGGAAGGTTCTTGGTCGCCTCTTTGTCGAGCGGACAAAGGACGGCTGGCTGCGTACGTCTCACCCTCGAGGCTTGCTATGCGCGTGGCGGTGCTGCTGCTCCATTGAACGGCTCGTTGCGTACGCATATTTCGTACGCTTGAGCGGTTGGCAGGCGCGCGCGCGCGTGAGCGTGCTTTGGGAGGGGGAGTGTAGGAGGTTGAAGTGAGACGTGATGGCAGAGAAGAGCGAAGAAAAAGGCGCGCTCAGTCTGCCCCACGTGCGCCGCCTTTCCGCAAGCGGACAAGCCCGGTCTTGGCAGCGAGCGCCCGTGAGGACGTCACTGGATCACGCTCCGTCGCGTCGGCGTTCCATGTGAGACACGCCCGCTCTCACACCGCAGCCCGTCCAGCACCGCAATCCCGTCGCCACCGCTGCCAGGCCCGCGCAATGGTAAGCTCACCTCCCCAACATCCTCACTGCGCCGGCATCCATCTCACCAATCCCTCAACCAGCCACCCAAACGCCGCGCCGCGACCGCGGCCGCCGCACCACCACCGCCCAGCAAAGCCTCGACGCTCCCCTCGCAACGGCGCAGCAAGCTCGCGCGCGAAAACGACCTCTCCGCCGCGCAGGAAACCGAGATCCGCGAGGCGTTTTCGCTGTTCGCGCTGCCGGCGCCCGCGGCAGAAGCGTCGCCGAGCTCGCGCCCCGAAGGCGTGCTAAAGACGGGCGATGTGCGGCGCTGCCTCATTGCGCTGGGCTTGACAGTGCCGCGGTCTGAGGTGCCTGCTATGCTTGAGGCGCTGGACCCCGAGCAGGACGGCTTTGTCCTCTTCGAGCACTTTGTCGCGTATGCGGCGATTCTGATACATGAGCGGGCGGCTGCGGAGGACGAGGAAGAGGATGCGGATGATGGCGGTGCGAGTGCGGGGTTGGGCGCGAGGAGGAGGAGAGAGGAAGTTGAGAGCGCCTTTGGGCTTTTTACGCAGGGTGCTGGGGGGCCGATCACCGTGCAGCATTTACGGCGAGTGGCGAGAGAGCTGCGAGAAGAGGTCGCGGATGATGTGCTGAGAGACATGATTGTTGAAGCGAACGGAGAGGTGAACACGAGTGCGGGCGTGGGTAAGGGTGTCAGTTTGGAGGAGTTCGAGGGCGTGATGAGAAGGGCGGGCGTGTTTGGGTGAGGACCGGGATGGGGACGCGGACGGCGTCCGAGAAAAATGCACTTATGATGGTGACGACAGGGCACTTGGCGTTTGGTGGCTTTCACTGGCTGGGTATTGGGCGAGGTCTGGCGTTGGAGACGAGCGTTGCTTTACTGCCACATGGATGGATCGTCTATGCTATTTCAGCTTCTACTCAAGCAGTACCTGCTAGCAGCTACGAGGGCATGACGTCCGTCCCGAGCCTGTCAACGATTGAACAAGCTTTCATCAAATCTAAACAATCCGCTCTCATCTCCAATAATCGGAGAAGCACAGTAAACAATCACCGCTGCAAAATCATGAATCCATCATCCAGACGTCCAAAAAATCCTAGCAAGACAGCATGGCTGAATCCCATAAACATTCTTGCCAAAATCTCGGACATCCCTTCCTTCGCTCCCACTACTGCTTCGCCTACGACGGGTTGCGGAAGCCAGCGTGCTCGCTGTGCTTCTTGTAGTAGTACGACCGCTCCGGCAGCTGGAGCTCGTCGGGCAGGCTCTCGAGCACCGTTTGCTTGAGGCGATCGATGCCTTCCTGGTTCTCGCAGTCGCGGTTCCAGATGGTGATGAGGATGCTGTTGAAGCGGACACTGTAGCTAATACCGCAGATGTCATCGATGAAAGCTAACGAACAAGTCAGCAATATTCTCTTAAACGTGGGACAGGATAAACGCGCGAGCGCGCAGAAAGGACAAAGAACTTACTCAGACGCTTGTTGCTGTTGTCGACCGCACCCTGCAGCGCCTCACCAATCGCCAGCATACAGATCTCGCGCCAGAACCACGCCGCCTTATCCTTCGGGACACGGAACGTCCACGCGCCGCCCTTGACGTTGCGCGGATCTTCCCAGACGGGCTTCACGCTGTGATGGAAGAGGTGGATGGTGTCGCGCAGCTTCAGCTTCGCGAGGTCAAAGTTGTTGTGGACCTTCCAGAACTGGCTGACGTCGGTAATGCTGTGCAAGAGCACAAGGCGGTCCTCGTAATTGCTCGATTCGTCCTCGCCCGCCTGCGGCTGTTGCTCGCAGCCCGCACCCGCCGGCTTCGGCACCCGGTCTTGCCGGTCGTGCCAGAAGTCCCAGACGTGGGTCAGCGACGGCGGGCGCAGCTTGTGCAGCAGCGTGTTCTTCATCTCTTTGCCGCGCGCGGGCGACGCCGTCGCCGAGGCGGCATCGTCCGTCAGCGCGGGGAGGCCGTTGGTTGTGAGGGCCGGGACGCCCGGGCGTGCGCCGCTGGGTGCTTCGCTCATGATATGTTCGGCTTTGAAGCTGAGGTACGCGTTGACGACTGATTGAAGGACGGCGGATTGCTCCTTTGGGTGGTCTCCGAGGGGGCGCGGTGGGTGGATTTGGAGGTCACCGAGGTTGGTGATTATCTGTGAGAGCAGAGGCAAGTCAGATACGCTCGAAGCTTTCGAATATGTAAAATTGCGAGAAGGCGTCTCGTCTGGGCTTTTGATGTTAAACGGAGGTGTTTTGAGTGTGATTGGGTTGTTGCGATGTGTAATTTTTGGGGCAGTCGAAGTGAGGTTGATGGTGGCAGACAATGAACTAAGTCGACCAGTAGAAGGAATGGAGTAGCGAGTATCGTCTACAGACTGAGTACGAATGGGAACTGGATTCCTCATGCTCGCAGGCAGTCTTGCCTCGCGTTGCAAGGGAGGAAGCAGACCCAAATATTGCTCGTGGATATGAAATAGAGGAAGCCAAAAAGACAAGGTGGGTGCTAGTGAACGTCCTAGAAAACGACTGGACTCATGTTTGGGGCGTGGAAATAGTACAAGAAATGGCCTCTCGGAAGGTGAGGTCAAAGGAAGACAGGTGGTGGAGTGAGACGATGTCAAGAACAACGAGCCTGGCCAGCGAGCTCGAAAGCGGGACCATGCACCGGTGATCGAGAACTACGCCTCCATTTCTTTCTCGGTGACTGTTTGTCGCCACGCTCTTCACCATTGCCATTCCGCATGGTACTGGCCTACGGGGACGCCGAAGGCTTCTTTAAAGAGGAATTGAAACAAGTAGACAGAAAAAAGACAAAGGCATCATTACGAGCATCAAGAACGGCAAAACCCAACGTACCTGTAAGCTCAAAAGTCAAGACACACAAGCCCCGATATGCTTTCTCAGGGGTCAGGAGATGCTAAGTTGGCGTGGAGTTTAGGCCGCGGAGAAGGTGGAAGGGCAAGAAAGACAAAAGAAGCAGAAGCAGAAGGCAGAAACGGGGGCGGAATGCAAGGGGCAAATGCACGCGGAGCAGAGAAGACGGACAAGAACAAAGAAGGAGCGTCGTCTTTGTGTGTTTGGGTGTTGATGGAGTTAAGGTGACGCTGGATAGGCGCCGGGTGCTATTGCAGGGGACCGATCATGCCGCAAATAGCCCCGCCTCCACCGCCCGCTGACGGCCCCAGAAAACATTCGCCAGCTGCCTATCGATCCACGCCCGCCCTCGACATGTCCAACAATTCCGCGTCACACCCCGCGCCACTCGCCCATCGGAAACGTCGCAAGTCTCCCAGCCCGGCCACCCCATGGCTGCCCACCAAGGAGCACGCCGAGGCCTTCCTCGTGGCCTCCGGGAAGCGCGCCGCGCCCGCGCAAGATGACGACAATCATGCCGACTCTGACGCAGAGTCCAGTGTCGTCAGCACCTCCTCCGAGGAACCTAGCTCCGATTCCGAGTCTGCCGGGTCTGAAGGCGAGAGCGAAGGAGAGGAAGAAGAAGACTCTAACGAGGTCACTTCTCTCCCGCGCCCACCCAAGCCCAGCGTCCGCCGGAAGCTATATAAAAAGACAAATGCGGCGTCCGAGCGCGTGCCGCTGAGCGAACGGCTCAAGGCATTCCTGCCACAGCTCGCTGCTGCAAACGAGGAGCTCGAGAGGGAAAAGGCTGCTGGGCGGCTTGGTGAGAGGTCATTGGAGGTGGAAAATGGCAAGGAAAACGAAGGGCAATACATCGAGATGGTTCGTGCTGTTTAAGCTGTGGAACAAGGCTGCAATGAAATTGGGAGGATACCTGCTGACAGCTGCGCAGGACCTGGGACTAGGCGTGCTGGAGGAGAAGGACCCAAACGCTGCGGACAGCAGCAGCGAGAGCAGCAACGAGTCAGGCGATGAGATGGACGTCGATGGCGAAGCTGGTGGCGAAAAGAAGACCAAGGAAAAGGATGTCTTGGGTAAGCTCATGGGCAAGAAGAGGACCCAGCCTGGAGCTGGTATTCAAGAGGTTCCGGAACAGTGAGGCGAGATGGAAGAGAGTAAATACCTATGAGTTTACGAACAAAAAGGTACAAGGGACGATCGAGGCCAGTGGTCGCATGAAATGATCACTGCCAACGCAAGCTTAGTCTGAAAAGGACGAGCTTCAAGTGGGAGTAAAAGCCAGTTGTTTCAAACTAACATGGCTCTTGGAGAGCATCTGGTCAGGAGACTGATAACTCCCATATACCCTTGCAGTGCACACCAAAATTGGTTGTAGATAAAATCGGGCATGCACATGGGGAAAGCGGACGAATTACCGTACTTTCTTGTAGTGTATTGCTAGCCTATGTATATAAAATACATAAGGCTGTCAATGCAAACAATTGTAGCAACGCTGAACTTGCTACTCCGTACGATCGTTGGGGTGAATGTCGTTACAGTTCACATACCCCTTGTGATCTACTTGTACAAATACAAGCTCTGTGTCTATAAGAAATAATTTATAGGGTGCATTCTAATCTACTCTCAGAACTATATAGGTAATATTTAGGTATGTTTTAATATTGGCATTCAAAGCAGCTTGACACACCTTCCCTTCTATGAATATACGTTTACTATAAGGATATAAGTAACTATCATCACTGTGGCCGTAGTACTGTATATTTAATTTAAGAAAAGATAAGTTAGACATAACCAACATTGCAGCACATGTTAGAAAACGTTCTAAAGTTTCATCATATCTGTTATATATATACATCGCATTGATGCTTATTATCCCTTTTCTAATACCCGCCACCGTCGAGCGAGGTTCATAGAAACTTATAAAAGCAATTGAGGGTATAGGAAATCTTGTCTGTGCACGAATCTATCAATTACTTTTAAACATCAACACTTTTAGCACGCCACGCAAGGCTATGGAGCCACGGAACAAATAGAACGTAACATTGAATAAGACAGAATGAGATATCAAAGGAAGTGCGTCTATATGATAGTTACCCTGCGCCTCCCCACACTCAAGAAATCGTTCGTCATATGCTTCCTAAACCATACCAGACCAAGCCGTACATGAGCTCCATGAATGGTGTCTGACCTTCCCAGGATGAGAAAAAATGCAAAAGAACCACTAGTTGCAAAACGAAGGAGTTCCACGCAAGCATTGAACTCTTTCCCGTCGTTACGGAGGGCATGTTCTCCGCGAACCCTTCGTAGTGTTTTAGTAGCGGCAAAAATCGGCGTCCTGCAATCGCATTCCTCGACTGGTCGATCAAGATGCAAATAATGAGCTCCAAGTAATGAAATGCCGGCAAACAAACGGCAAATTTTTCGTCCATTGGAACCATTGAGGTTGGCGATCATAATATTTCCTTCCAGTATGATGTAACCACCTTTCACCTGACCAAAAGGATTCGACCCTTTTGGGCTGCAATGGATGTCCAAAATACTGATATTTGGTTGTTCAGGTGTTAAAAAGGAGATGGGACCGTTGATAGACGCCCACGACCAAGAAGGTGTCCGGTCGTCTTCAGCCATAGGCGACCAATCTTGATCTTCGTATGATGAGATTTCAGAGGACCACAGTAGGCTTCCGATCAAGGTCTGTCGCCACATACCAGCTAGATAAGTTGCTCCAGTTGCAGCTTGTATGAAAGAAGCTAGTCCACTTAGCGCTGGAAGCCGGTCGGAAGGACGAGTGAGTTTCCGTTTGGTGTATGCAGAAACAACTCTTCCCCACGCTTTTAAATCGTTTATTGCTCCCGTGAAACGATTCAAGTCAGTCAAGGGTATGAAACCGAGACTTGTAAATCTCTCTGACCCACTCTCAAAAAACTTGTAGGACTTGCATTCCCACATTAGCTCGCTGTTGTAGAAATGCATAATCCGTGAGGACAGTACATATTCTTGAAAACACCATCCACGGCTTGACAATGGACGTAAGGGGTCATGTAAAGTGATGTCAGGGATTTCTTCGATCTGCCGTACACGAATCGACTGTGTCAAGCGGTTCGACTGTCCCTGAAACTCTCTGTGTAGCCATCTTGGATCTCTTGGTCTCAAAAAAGGTTCAAAGCAATTTCTGGAGGAAGACGCTGCGATTGTAAAAAAGGCTCCCTGAAAATACTGGGCCATTTTCGATGATTCAATTTCCCAGTCTAGATGTATTAGAGGTAAAGTTGATTAAGTGTTTTTATATATATATTTTTTTTGGAATTTTGCATACCTTCGGAATCATCTTGAATGATACATAAAGCGTCAATCCAAAGGAATCCGACACCAAGTCGAAGACAAACCTCGACTGCGTTTTGAAATACCGCAGGCAAGAGTTGCCATGGTAGCTTTTCTTTCATCTGTTTGTAATTTTGGGTGAATAACCGCAGAGGAAGGCCTTCATTACCCCAGCAATAGGATAAAGTGACATATTTATCGGTCCGGTTTGACGCTTCCAGTACTTTTAGAGAGTTTATGCCTCGGGAAAGATCGATGACGCGCTTGGGCAAGGACGTTGATATAAATGGCGTGCATGACCGGTGACCTTTTGAACCTACTCTCTGGAGACAATTTCTCAGACATTGCTCAAGAAACTGATAGCAGACACCATCTCCTGTATGAGCGCTAATTTCCGCTTCGCTCCCTAATATAGGCCAGTCGGAAAGATTTGTGCTACCTTGAGTTGTAAGTATTACTGGCGTGAATCGGTAAATTGGTGTTTTACCTTGACGCCTCGAGATTACAAAGCTGCACAGCACTTCATTAGGATATGTTGCAGAAACAGGATAGAAAGAAACAGGGATGTTGTCGCCAATTACAATTACAGAACCGCCATATTGTGTTGAGCCTCGATTGTAGGGCTGGGGTTGCGCCTGGTTTGGGAGGTCCACTAGAATAGAACAAAAAAGGCAGCCGGCACGTGCGGTCTCCTTTAGTTCTTTGAAAAGAGGATGAAGTATCAAAGACCGATTTAGCGAGCGCTCTCCCATAAAATTCGACCCAGCCTCTTTCCTGATACTCTCATGGCTTAGGAGTGCTAAGTTGTTGCAACGGTTGCAGAGATCGGGTATTTTTGATCTCAAATATGTCCTCGTATCGTGAATTTTCCAGGAAAAACACCTCGGTAGACCGTGATTGTTCCCAAAATCCTGAAGTTTTCCGAGGTGGTCGGTAGCGGTTGTGATGAAGAAACCCTTCACCCTGCCCTGGATGGCACACGCCTTCAAGGGCGTAGGTGGTGGGCCCGCGGTAGTCCGCCGGTCACCCATTGGAAGAGAAAGTGAACAGCGACTCAGCGGGACCAAGTGATGAATAACTTCGTGACCAGAGCAAAAAGTTGGAGATGATTACTAGATTGCGAAAAGCATGCGCAGTTATTCGCTGTCAAGAAAATGACAGGGATGGGGGGTCAGCTGAGTAGTGCATGTCCAATAGATTTTCGATCGTACCCGCCAGGCTGAAAGCGGGTCTTTCGGGCCCTGCCAGCCTCCTCAGCCTCGTCGACGCATTTGAAATTAGATGCATGGTGTCGAATAGCTGCATGTAAATACCCGGCCACGTCAGTACCCTAAGCCCTCGTGCCTTCACCGTCGCGAGACAATCGAGTTCGAGACCAACGGAATACCTTGTTCGGCAACCCTTTTAGCCATGTCGAGAAACATGACCGTTCTTTGGAGCCGTCTCACCTGCCTTGCGGTGCAGAAGATCGGACTGCTCGTGTCTCGATAATACATGCGATTGGATGTTTCTTCGGAAAACATACCTCATGTGGCTACGCTAACTCTTCTTCTAGGCAACACTTGCTGAGTGCATAGCGTTACAGGCCATAGACCAAGGTAGCACACAGTTCTTTCCACGAGACGAGACTCCAGACGTTCGAAGTTACGGGATGGCTTGCATGACTGCGCCGCAACTTATCGATCCGCTAGCCGCCCACGCGTATCAAATATTAAGAGAAAGGAGAAATCTAGAGCGGCACCTCCACCTGTTGCAACACCTCGTCGATAACATCCTCGACCGTAACACCTTCCAACGCCTGCCTCACGGCCTCTACGTCGCTGCCCCACTGCATGCTGCGCTCGTTTTCTGGGGTAGTAAGAATGATTCGATGTGGATAAATCTTGCGCGCCGCCAAGGCTACCAGCGAAGGCGTGACGTAGTCCAGCCCGTGGAGAGGAGCCAGGGCTTTTGACAGCATCAGAAAGTGCCGGGTTCCGAGGGCTGAGATGCCTCCGGCTACGCCGCGGTGCAGGCGCATGAAAACCACGACGTTGTGCAGATACGCGCGAACCTCGGAAGCGATGCGAGCATTCATCTGGCGTTGAGATAATGCCTCAACGTCCTTGATGGCAGAAATTAGTGTCTGTTGTGGGGGGATGTTGCGGTTCCTTACGGCTTGTGGGAATAGCGGCATCTGAAAGCTGGGTCGGAAAGGCGCAGCAGGTGACGAAGACGGTCGTATCACTGAATCCAGAGATGCGCTGTCATCTGATACGGCACGCTTGCCGGTGTACTCTTCAAGATTCGGCAGGCCATCTTCCGTTTGGTGGTAGTGAGAGATAAAGAAATGGTCATTCTAGTGTCTGTCAGTTGGCACCATCTGGGAGAGCTTCATGGTCCCGTACAAGATGGGGCGTTAGATTGGCTCCTGAATGCGATGCCAGAAGTGAGATGAACAGAAACCGCTTCGGCACGGGGTAAACTGCTGTTCGAGTGAAGATGCGTTTTCCACGAATAAGCTCGAGCACCTGGGTCTGCACCTGACGGTGTGCGCAATCCAGGTTCTTGGCCACCACGACATTGGCGATTTTTAGATTTACTTCGAGAGGCGATCTAGGACTGCGGTGACGGGGCGTACGGTGGCCCTCTGGCGGAGATCCGCCAAACGAATCCTGATGACGTGAGATTAGATGAGGTCAGAGGGCTCTTAGAAGAATGTAATGTAGCTTACCTGTTCCGGGTAGTGACCAGGCGTCGAGGTAAAATAGGACGGGTCGTCGTCTTCGACCAGCAGCCCGTTACTAAAGTCATCGAGACTCGTTTTGTCGGAGCAGTCGAGAACGGCACAGGAGAGGCCGAAGCAGTTGGCAGCGACCTGCGGCGGGCGTCAGTGGCGGGCGAATCAGAGGGGCAGGATGGCATGTTCTACGAGCTGTAGCTCTTGGGCCAGCGGGCCGAGCTGGTCTGGGTGGGCGGCTTGGATGATGCAGTGCTGCTCAGCCACGAGGCACAGCAGGGTGGCCAGTTCCAGGTCGCTGAGGCCTTGAGCCTTTTCCGCGATATCCATTAGATATTAGGTGGAGGTTGGGAGGGGCACGTGAGGGGATGATATTATATGCGACACGCCTCCTGTCAATCGAGAGTTGATCGATGCGCGGCGGCGTAATGAACCAGAGCCACGGGCCGCGGCAGCAACAGGCTTACCTACCTTAGTACATGACTGCTCGTCTCGTCCTACTTAGAAGAATCGCACACCTCGCAAAACGTCTGTCAGTTCGTTGTCGTTTCGGCCGTTGTCTGCGCCGCCCGTTCCCCGGCCACCCATCCCTGTGTGAATCCCTGCCAGCCTCGCCCGGGCATTCACCTCATCGTGGCCCTCGCCTCCGCCGCCCGTCCTGCTGCCCGTCGCCCAGCGGAGAATTGAGGCCTTGCAGACTCCTCACCCTCCGTCTCTGACACGCCCGACCAGTCCCTTTGCCTGGTCGCCGGATCATGTTCACCACTCCCGCTGTCGCTGCACCCACCCTCTCGACCACGACCTCGCCAGCCTCGCCAACGTCACCCACCCGCACCGGTAGACTCCGCGGCCTGAGTTATCTCCGTAACTACACCCACCAGCACTTCACCTCGTCATCCAGCGAACGCTCGCCCGACCGTCGCCGTCCTTCGCTCGGCCGCGCTCGCAGCAACCCTAGCCCGCCCGGCGCAGACAGATCCCGCCGGAGCGCCCCTCACTCCCTCAATAACCCTTCCTCACTGCCTAGGCAGGCCCTCGTTGACGGAGCAACCGACTCGTCCAGCGGTTGGGTGCCCACTGTCGGAGGTCGCAGCGGTCTGTCTCGCGTTGCCACCTCTGCCGAATCCTCCACCGCCTCTCCGCTCCCCGCAGCCATGACACGCAACCGCGCCGAGTCTGCTGCTCCCTCGCTGGGCGTGTCCCACCATGGCCCGCCGACCGTTAACAGCGCTGACTTTTCGGAGCTCTCGACCCCGGTGAAACAATTGCCCTCGATACGTTTCATACCCCACGAAGACCCGCGGGCCGCTCGACCCTCGCTCCAGTTCCCCACCATTTCTAGGACTCTTCCCAATGAAGACTGCGTCATCCGGGTCGGCAGGTATTCGGAGAAAGATAACATCCCTACAGATTTGCCTACAAACGTTCCTTCTTCTGCGCCTGTCGGTTTCAAGTCCAAGGTCGTTTCTCGCCGACACTGCGAATTCTGGTGCACCGATGGGCAGTGGTGGATCAAGGATGTGAAGTCTAGCTCTGGAACCTTCTTAAACCACATCAGATTGTCCCAGCCAGGCGTTGAGAGCAAGCCATACAAGGTTGGGGATGGTGACGTCGTGCAATTGGGCATCGACTTCAGGGGTGGCGAAGAAATGATTTTCCGTTGTGTGAAGATCAGGATCGAGTGCAACCGGAACTGGCAAAAGTCGTTGAACACCTTCAAGTGAGTTTTCCGCATCTAGAAGCTGATGCGGGTCAGTAAGGCGCTGATATCACTTAACAGCAAGTCGACGCACAAGCGCCTGCGGAATTTGGCTCAATCCTCGACAAAATCCAAGGATTCAGATTCAGCTAGCGTCCAGAGCACTGACTGCAGCATCTGCCTGATGTCCATTCGCCCATGCCAAGCTCTTTTCGTGGCGCCTTGCTCGCACGTTTGGCACTATAAATGCATCGCAAGAATCATCAATGGACCGACTTATCCACAGTTCATGTGCCCGAACTGTCGCATGGTAAATGATTTGGATGCAGACGTCAGCGAGCCAGAAGACTGGGAGGAAGAAGATGACGGGAGCTTAGAAGACGCATCGTCGCAGTCTAAGCTCGTTGTCGTCAATGGTGACAGCAAGGAACACGGAGAAGAGGGGGATGGAGAGGGCAGTTCAACTCCACGGGCAAATGGGGTTCTGTCTTCAGAGCAGGGCGCTGAGAGCTCAAGTGCGGGGGCCAGTGCGTCAACTGGAAGCAACATGATACCCGAGGAGGACCTCGCGAGTGCTCTGGCCGATTTTTCTCTCGCAGGACGATTGCTCAATGCTGGCTCATCTTCCTCCGACGGCGACCAAGCGTCCGATGGCGGTGTCCACACTCCTCCGGAAGAGGAACCTCACGGAGAAATGGCTCCGTCTCCATCGGCTAACGTGGCTCCCATGCCGATTATGTCTGCCACTCCTGGTCCTGCTAACCACAGAAGCCCCTTCGGTGAAAGTACGATGTTGAATGCTACTCCGGGCGGTGGGGTCCAATTCGGACTCACGCCCCTTTCGGCGCCGGCTGGGACGGAGTGCCCGATGACGCCAAGGAACAATGCCGGCCCCTTTGTCCTGGATGGCAGCGGTGGTGGATCATCCGGAGCAAGCAGCAGTGAAGGTGTTCCCCTCGACCCCTCGGAAACGGGAGCAGGCGAAGAGGCTCAGAACACAGCCGAGAGGGCAGCATAATTTGGCCCCGGCGGCGTTGATGATGATCATCAGACCCTGTACATGGAGGAATGGATGGCGCAAGAGGCGGTGAGCGATTTTCATTTTCGATACCTGCTTTTATTCGGGTTGACTGGCGTACCTAAGGTTGATATCAAACGTGGCATTTTTTTTTTCTTGGTCACGGAGAGCTGAGCACTCATGGCAAATACCTATCAGTATTAATTCGATGAGGGCTAGCTCAGAAGCGGATGGAAGCAAGGCAGTTGCTCTCATTGCATAGCGGAGGAGAGAAAAGGGTTAATATAGTACCAAGCACGTAGTACCTAGTTCAATGAAGATAGTGATGAGTACAAATACACCTGTAGGGCTGAGGCTGACTAACGTCATTGCCGAGACCGAGCGTCAAGAAATGTGTTGCCGCACGCCCAAGCACCAGCATCACCCGCATCGACTATGCTGCGCTCGACTAGACTACGGCTGCCCTTGCGAGCATTACAAAGGCCTACCGTCTCCCGAGCGGCGCCTTCGACATGCACTCCTAGACATTACGCCACGGCCCGCGCCGAGGGCAAGGTGCGGCAAACTCGCGTGTCCGCCAACGCGTATACTGATGACGCTTTACAGGATCCCGTCCAGCTCGACCAGTTGACCACTCTACCAAATGGCATCCGCGTCGCAACCGAAGCCCTGCCCGGCCACTTTTCCGGAATTGGCGTCTACGTTGATGCCGGTTCTCGCTATGAGACGCCGGAACTCTGCGGCGTGTCCCACATCATCGACCGGCTCGCCTTCAAGTCCACTAAACAGCGCAATTCGGACCAGATGCTGGAAATGTTGGAGTCGCTGGGCGGAAACATCCAGTGCGCGTCAAGCCGTGAGAGTTTGATGTACCAGTCGGCGACGTTCAACAGCCGCGTCGAGGACTGTGTGGCCGTGCTTGCGGAGACCGTGAGGGACCCAATGATCACCGAAGAGGAGGTGGAACAGCAGTTAATGACGGCCGAATATGAGATCGGCGAGATCTGGAGCAAGCCAGAGCTCATCCTGCCGGAACTTGTGCACATGGCCGCGTTCAAGGACAATACACTAGGCAACCCGCTACTGTGCCCGCAGGAGAGGCTGGGTGAGATTAACAAGAGCGTGGTGGATGCTTACAGGAAGGTGTTCTTCAGGCCAGAGCGGATAGTGGTCGCCTTCGCTGGCGTAAACCACCTCGAGGCAGTCAAGCTCACTAAGCAGTACTTTGGCGACATGAAGAAGGAGCCCGTCCTGTCCCAAGTCGGCTCCGATGCCACTCTCAACACTACTCCCACACAAGGCCAGTCTACCATATCCGGCGTCCCTCCGAACGCTGCCTACGGTGCTTCCGACTCTCAGAAATCGGGTCTCTTGGGCAAGGTCCCATTCTTCAAGAACCTCTCTACTTCTGCTCAACACTCCGCTCAACACGCTTCGTCCCTTACCACATCCTCCACGCAGCCTATCAACACGCCCTCTCACTACACTGGTGGTTTCCTCTCCTTGCCCTTCATCGAACCTCCTCCTAATCCCGCATTGCCGCGTCTTTCGCACATCAACATCGCATTTGAAACCCCTGGAATCGCATCAGAAGACATATACGCACTGGCAACGTTGCAAACTCTCCTCGGCGGTGGTGGCTCCTTCAGTGCTGGTGGTCCTGGCAAGGGCATGTACAGCCGTCTCTACACCAACGTCTTGAACCAGTACGGATGGGTCGAGAGCTGCGTTGCGTTCAACCACAGCTACAGCGACAGCGGCCTTTTCGGTATCAGCGCAGCCTGCGAGCCTCGTGCCATCGGCAACATGCTGGAGGTTATGTGCCGCGAGCTGGCCAGTCTGAGCCAGACGGGCGGCTACTCGGCATTGAAGGAGGCTGAGGTGCAGCGTGCCAAGAACCAATTGCGTTCGTCGCTGCTCATGAACTTGGAGAGCCGCATGGTCGAGCTGGAGGATCTGGGAAGGCAAGTCCAGGTCCACGGCCGCAAGGTCGGCGTCCAGGAGATGTGCGACAAGATCGCTAGCGTCTCCATTGCAGACTTGAGGAGGGTGGCTGCGCAGGTTTTCGGCGGCAAGGTGAACAACCCTGGAAAGGGTAGCGGTGCGCCGACGGTTGTTCTGCAAGAGGGGTTGTACGATGGCGAGAACCCGGACCGTAAGAAGCAGTTTGAATGGGGTGAGATCCAAGAAAGAATCGCGCGGTGGAAGCTGGGTAGGCCGTAAAGCCGCGGCAAGGTGTTAGGAGGTGGAATTTCGTCGCACAACCATGTTCAGATAATGACGACGGGTGGCTGTACGCTGTTTGGTCATTTGTAAATGGAGCCGCGGGGGCTAATGTACTATATCACAGCTCTTCTCGTATAGAAGGAAGGCTTCTCGAATAGAAGGAAAGAAAAGATAGAAGACGACGACCACTCCAACTCATAACCTCTCACCCCCCATACCTCAGGTACTCTAAAGTATACCAGCGTCGACGAACCGCAGATGCAA